AGAAAAATTAATTATAGTTTATCGGCCATGTGATTGTGGCACAATTACTTAAGTGTTTGATTTAAAATTACAACTAAATGGAAATAACTTATTGACATATGCTCGTTTGTTAAATTTACTTTATTGAACACCGTAAAACGGCATTACCTGTATGTAAGCTTCTGTCAGTGTAATCATCTGCGGAAGTATATCAGTGACGTGCAAATCTTGCATTTCATACCATTTGCTGTTGCCTTGTTTCAGTACGTGAACACGATAAGTACCTTTGTTGGGTTCTCCGTCGTGCACAATGTTGGCAATCAGATCATAAGACGTATTCTTGTGTTTAGCTTTCACTTCTGGTGTTAATATATCACCAAAATCGACATTTCTAAAATATGCATTGAATATAATAAAATTGAGTATAAATATATTAATATAACAATCGGTGTAATTACTTTACAGGAAAGTTGACAATAGTAGGATTTTTTTCAATGAAAAATGTGTTCTTCGTAAATCTCTAAAACATAATATTGTAAACTTCAATCAAAAAAATTGATTAAAAAAATACATTTCTGATTTAAAACGATGTGTTCAATTTTTACCTTAATGTATAAAATCAGATATGGCGGCAATTGCGTTATTTCAAAACGTTTCATAAAGTTTTCCTTGTACGTTTTGTATTCTTTTTCGGATGCGTTGTTGAATTTCGTCAACAAAGAATATAAGCTCACCTAAAACATTGTCGATTTCCATAGAAAAATTGTACATAACACACGTTTGTCCTGTGAAATTACAAAGATTATACCTGAGGGATGATGTTCTCCATTACTTCGTCTTTGAACAATGGCGGAGGTGGCAAATCACAAGTTAAATATAAGAATGGCGATTCAGTCACGTGTTCGGCGTACTCATCTGTGCACAACAGACTATACCTCTGTTTTTCGTCCAGTTCGACAGGCGGTATCTTCCGAGTTTTGACGCGCATACTGCCCATGAATGTCTTATAAACAATACTAGATGTACTGCTTTTCTTACCGTTTAGGGCTCTGTGCAACGAATTCAAAAACCATGATAGAAAATCGACGGGATCGCCTAAAATAAATACATAAAATATTAATGGAATTTGTCCTATAAGTAACTGTATAACAGAGCTATTTTTGAAAAATCAAATAGTTCAAAAACTTAAGTAACAACAATAGTAGATAATATTATACACGAAGACGCCATACTCATTATATTAAAACAAACAAATTTCCAGCGACAGTAGGTATTCATCTATGTACAGAAGTGTTAGGGGGGTTGAATGATTAAGAGCAATGAAGAGAACCATTAAAGAGAAATAGCCTATTTAAAAATAAGTAGACCTAAAATTAAATGCTTAGAGTTCAAGGAAAATAATTTAACAATGAGAGAAATAGAGAAGTACCCAAAGACTTATATTTATGTGAGCAAAAACAGTTTTTAGACATCCCTGTTTTTTTACTATTAGAAAGCTGCCTTATGTGTAGCGAGTATGAAAGCCGTCGTGGTCGATACAATGTAAATTAGTCGATCGTGCGTTCACCTTGTTCGGTGAATTGGAATTTTTTGTTACTCCACAAGACGACAGCTTGTAGCATTTCATGAGGAGATACGTGTGCTTTGAAGTTTCTCGGATTCCACAGTTTACGCATCAGTTCTCCGAACCGCTGCACCAACAAGAACACGCTGTCACCCGGTGGCCGTTTCACCTTGGCATAGTTTTTCTCGTCCAGGAAATAATCCCTCAACGGAGTGACGTTGGACAACGCTTGTAAGATGACGTTGCAATAATCGTTGGCTTTTATGTTGTTCAATCCTACAATGCCGGGCAAGTAGAGTGTTCCGTCGATGGCCCGTGACAGCTTGTCGCTCTTGTCTAGATACGATATGTGCTGCGAAGTAAATGTCGGGTTCAATACGTACTTGATGTCGTCTAATGAAGAATCTAAAAAAAAAATGTACACCGTTTAAGTATCGAGTAGAACGTGTATCGGGGGGCGTCATTGTCTTTAGACTCACCGACTATTTCGTAGTTGTCGGGCAAGCAGTAGAACTTCAAGGTTTGCAAGTTCAAAAAGACGTGATGACTTTCGGCCACGCTGTGAGTGTACGCGTGAGTGTTGGTGCCACGACCTGCATGCAAAAGGAATAATAATTAGTCTGGAATTGGAGTATTTCCAAAACAAACGGTTTTTGTAACGTGCAAAACGATAATATTGATATTACCTTGAAAGTATTTACCGCACACCAGACAAGCGTACACGTTGATCCGGGACAACGACACCGAGCACAGTTTTTCGAAATCAAAATCCAACACTTGACGGTTAATGGTGTCCAAGTACGGGCAAAGGCGATGCGTTTTTTTCGTCCAAGTATCTAGAACACAAATTCAAACACGATTGTTTTATTTGAAAAACAGACTCGCGAAAAAGATGTTCTTTATTTTTTTTATTGTAATTCCACCAAAGAAGAAATGCACGCCTCTTAGCTTTTTTTTTTTTACTTTACACCCAAAATTGTTTGCTTGAATAATCATGTAGAGTATGGTTTTTAAAAAAGGTCAACCCAGTCTGAGTGTGCATAAAATCCACATTGTTTGGGTAAGTACCATTTTCTAGGCTTCAACAAAAAAAAACCCGCTGGGTTTTTGCCTATTCTGCTTGGGACAATCTCAATTTTTCACCAAAATTATTTAGACTGCTCTATTATACAGAAGGGTGGGTGCGTAAAACTTCATGACTATAAACTTTCAACTAGTGACTTCGGTTCACTCTGTAGGAGAAAACACAAGTCAAAACATAAATTTGGGAAAACTAAAAATTTTATTGACGGTCATCAATTACTACAATGATTAAATTTGTTAGGTTTTCAACTACTTTTTTTACCTACTGATTTTATAAGACCCGCGGTCATTCTACCTTGACTTTTGTCTTTCTTTGTTTAATATCGGAGTATCAAATTAATATTATTTGTTTATTATGCAATGCCGTAGCCAGATTTTTTTTAGGGGAGGAACTATAATGCAATAAGGCCGAAAGGATAGTATATATTTCTCAACAGTCGACCCACATATGTTATTGTATATATATTATATAAAAAATATATACACCAGGAGGGAGGAGGGCACGTGCCTCATTCGTCTTTTTGTTTAATTTTAAACCAACAACAAAAAGGGGATTATAAACAATTAAAGTATAAATGCAGTCATCAGTTTTAAATAGAACGTTTTTATAAATGTGTGATGTTGCTGCGGAATAAGTGTACCACGTGTAAACAACAGTATACGTCGCTCAGGTACGCTATTTATCTGAACTCGACCTTATAATTAGCACGCAGTTTTTCGCAGATCATAATAAAAAAAAAAACAAGCCGCCCATGCGCAGTTTTCTAAATGTTAAAATTAAATTAAAAACAAACGAATTCCATAAATAAGCACTATTATGATTGCGACGGATAAGATCAAAAGTTTAATGCGGCGCAAAATATTTACAGGCCAACCCGTGTCCACACAGTACTATAAATATACGGAAGCCGGTATTAATACAGTATAATATAATATAATATAATATCTTTTGCTTTGTCGAGATCAAAAATAATACAATTTAATAGTGTGATTTATCAATGACAATACGCTTGATATCATATAAAAGATAATCAAAGGGAGTCGCGTTGGTTTGGTTAATGGTATGTATTATTTTGGCGTCGCATGTTAACAGCAATAGCGCACACAGCACACGCAAAATACTAGTCGCCACATTTGACACTCAAGTCAAGGTTTAGACGATGACAAAAATTATTATTATTCACTCGACGGTATAGATTTAAGTACATTTTAATATTATAAGTGCCGCAACATGTCGAGTGCGGCGAGGCGACCTAAATAATATTTTAGTCTCCACAGTATTATAAAAGAAAAAAAAAACAGCACAGTGGATCGTGAAGCATATTGGGGACGGGGAGATAGATCATGGATCGTCACAAATGATTATAACTGAAAGTAATAAAATCGTTAAACGCTTCGGTACGAAACTGCAGAAGGTAAATACTAAACGAATGCATTCTATATCTTCAGTCCAATTTTCAGACCAAAATTACACCAAAAAAAAAAGATGTTTGATATTTTTTTAATTCCTCAAAGTATATGGATAGTACAATACAATATAAAGAATATCCCATATGAGTTTGAGAAAGTGGTTCAATTATTTTAAAAAAGTGATAGCACGCAGTAGTAATTTTAAGATGAAAAATATATTGTTTAAGATTTTAGTGTTTTTTCTCGATTTAAAACAGGAAAGACTTTTCTACTTTTTCCCTTGTAACGTATCTTTTGACCTCGATATCTAATCTGCATACTTGCTACTCGATGAAAACAGCCCAACGATTAAAAAGTTATCGGGGGTCCAGATACATGAAAACAAAAAGAGTAAGACATAGTAATTATGAAAACAATACCTTCTCATCTTCGCAACGCAGCTAAAAAACATTCGTAAAAAAATTATACATAGGAATCATCGTGCGAGGTAGGTACTAAAATCTTCGTATGAAGAGCATTTTCGAAATTATGAATTAGGTCTTTAAAAATATACTTAATAAAAACATATGTATTTTAAAAAAAGAATACTAAATTGTACAGTAAGTTACAAAAAGTAACGCGAAAAAATAGAACTAGTGATACACCTATACGTTTTTTTGTGTTTTATCATATTTTGATAATAATTATTATAAGCCGCTTTTTTAATTGAGCTCATGTCGGTGATAAACTACGATCCTCTTGTGATTTTTAAAGCAGCTATAAGGTTATTATTGTAGAGAAATTCAAGGATATATCTAATGCAGATCTATTACGAATTTACATAATTATTCAATTAATTTAATTAGTACCAAGTATTTACCTTATTTTTATTGCAAATTAAAATATGTATAAATACATTATATTTTTTATACCCAGTGGAATTACAATGAAGATAGAGCATAATATGCATACCACTAGAGTTAAGCGGGTTGGAAGTAAACGGTTATATAGTGGCGTGCATTAAAACTCATAAGCCTTGAACTTATTCAAAAATTATAATGCGAGTGTTGACTATATTTGCCTTATTTCTTAATGGATGGTATAAAAAAATGTACATTCGTGTTACACAAAAATTGAATTTAAGTACACACACGCCTCTAGGTAAAAATAACAAGTATGTTTAATTTTTTTATGATAAATGTTAGATGGCCGACGGCATTTGCTACTGGTGGCTAATGTTCTCGGCGAACGATAAAACCGAGAGACAATGGGTTATTGGGTCTTTAATGACAATTGCTGCCAATAAATACTAAAATGTATATGCCTACAGGTGGTTTCCGGTTAACCTTGTTTCGAAGATGTCTTTTTGCCATTCACTCCACGTTGACCATTAGATAACTAACCTCTGTGATATTTTAGCCATTAACGACGTCGTTATGCAGAACACCGACGGAAGTGTCCCTGTTTTCAGGGCTGAACAAGATAGTCTACGTTTAATCGGTTTGTCGCGTGAAAGGCGTTGTTAATTTTCGACAACCCGGAAATAATAAAATAATATTAACACCGCACTGGTAAATGGAAAAAAAAAAATCGTATATTGTTTGGTCCACGGACATCGACTTCACATCAAACATATTAAAATAATTTAAAACACGTACGCAGCTATTGTACTTACACGATAATGATGTTGATAAATAATAATATATTATATAATAATCTACACTAAGTATAACAAATTTTAGTCTTGACGGTTTAATCACTAATTAAAAATACAAACATCATTGATAAAACACAACAAAAAAATAATAATTATATAATAAAATAAAAATACGAATGTTTTCTTTCTTTTGTACAGAGTTTGGCACGAAAGCTGGCGATTTATCAGATTTTTTTTTTTTTGGCGTGTCAAAGAATTCATAAAACGTTTTTTGTCGTTTTATTCCGCGCTGTTCCTCCTCAAACAAAACAATTATGCTTATCGACTAATATTTATTGCATTTTGGTAATCGGTTGGTAAGTCAATCTAGAAACTGGTCGTCGCCAACGGGTTGGCCGGTGGAATCGGTTTCCTGGTTGATGACCTGGTCGAAGAACGTGATGACCTGGTTCAACGACAGAGAATTATGCAGCGTCTCCAGCGGCCGTATAGGCGGCACGCCGTCGCAACCGATGATGGAACCGGCGTAGCTGGACTGCCCGGTCATCAGGTCGTGCAAGTCGGACGTGCTGGACGATCCGCTGATGACGGCCGTGCTGAACAGGCTGCTCGTGGGCGGCGACGCGGAGAACAGGTGCGAGAAGTAGCAGTGACGCTTCGACGTGGCGTTGTGAGGCTGGCAGAACTTAAACTTGGGCGGGCCGTCGCACGTGTCGTCTTCCGAGAATATCGGCTGTTCCGGCGTGTCCTTCTTGTTTTCGTCCTCGGTAATGGAGAACCGACTGTGGTCTTCCTCTTCGTTCTGCGGCTCGGTTACCGAGAACCTACTGTGGCCCTCGTCTTCGTCCAGCGAGTCATCCTCCTCGTAGTCTTTGTGCTTGGCCTTGAAGTTACCTCCCGTCTGCGGCCGAAACCCCGGCCCGGGCGGCAGGTTTTTGCGCACGCAACAGTTGACGCCGGGGCTGAAGTGCAATTCGACGTGGAATCGTTCCTCCGACGTAACGTTTTTGGTGGGGTCCTCGTACAACATGATCACTATTTGCGTCATATAATTCAGTTCCGACACGATGCTCACGTACTCCATGGCCCTGCCCCACTGCTCGTCGTTGTTGACGTCAAGTAGGCCGCCGAACCTAAGCACGGACAGCAGCGAGTGTATGTGGCTTTCGCTGGTGAAGTACAACCGTGATCGGACATGCCGTCTGGGACTGAGCACGCCGTACGAGTACGTTGGGTTCAGCCGGTTCACCGTCTCGTCGTCCTCGACCTCCTCGCACGGTTCCTCCACGTTGCGCTGCAAATCCGACTTGAGCTTGCGCAACAGCGGCGTGCATATGCCCTGACTGATGGTCACCTTCTCGTCTACGTCCAGTCCATATTCTTGCGGGATTACGATATCGGCCAGATACTTGGCGTACGTGTACAGCTCTTCGGCTTCCTCGAACTGTAACGTTCTCTGGTTGTGCTGCAGATCGTACTTGATGCAATCGTATATATCTGGTATCTTAGAGATATCGAACTTTTTGTTTTTCGTGAAAAAGTCTTTTTCGATTTTCGACCACCGCTGACCCATCAGCTCCCACGTCTCGCCGTGATACAGCACTGTGTCCGCCTTCTTCGGGTCGTCTTTCTTCGAGTCTACTACGGCCACCAACTTTTGGATCAATTCTTGTACGATTTCGCAACACTGCACTGGGTTTTTAACGTAGTCCAGTGCCTCGTCGATACTGATGGCTTGGCTCGGGTTGATCATGGCTCGATCCTCGGCAGTAAATTCCCGGTCATTTTGCATCAGACGGTGTAAACGTTCCTTGGTCAAATTCTGTTGTTCGCTGGAGTCGCGATCGTTGTCCAGCAGACCGTTGGTGTTGGCGCTTTTCACCATCTGTACCAGAATGGGCGTAAGTTCGCCTTCTAGAGCCAAGAGCCCCTTTGCAAACGCTGCAGCCGTCATTTGTACTCTGCCTTCGTCGCTTGCATAGATTTTCAAGTCGTGCCGGAACGTCGAGTGAAGTCGAAGCAGTCCCAGACCCTGGGTGTCGGAATTTCTACCCTGGCCTCCGGGATACATGCACCTGAATATCTGTCCCAGTTTTTCCGCCTGTACGCGTCCGGCTGGCGTCAGTTCGCCTCCCCATTTCAATATCAGCACCAAGGAGGGATCCTGTTTGCAGTTCACCGTCTGTTCTTTCCTAGGTCGCCCGTGCGGCTGATATTTCATCTGCACTTTACGGTTTATCCCCGAAAAATGACCGTACATCTCCAAAACACTTTTTAACTGTTCTAATTTTCTCTTTTTCTCTTCTAATTCTTGGTCAGCCGCGTTCTGTTCGATTTCCTCCAACAACGCCCTGGCAATGTCCAGCACTTCTTGCAGTTGTTTTGGATGCTTCAACTTCACTTCACCCTTTGCCTTGCCTCCGTATCTCTCAAACACGTCGAAAAACTTGGAGTGTCTAACCTCGACCTTCATCTTTTGTTTAGGTGTTCGATCGCCATGCCGTATCACGGCTACCACGCACCTGAGCTCCATCATTTTACCCACCGTTGTAGGCACTATAGGCGGGTCGTCCAACTGGAACGGCACCGACCACGGTATGTGCAGCGTCGGTGCTAGCTCCCTCAGTATCATGTTGCCCAGTATTTTGGCACAGTCGTCGTAGTACTTGTTGGAGTTCTTGACGAAGCTGAAACCGTTCACGTCGCACACAAACGATTTTCCGTTGGCCCGTAACAAGTCGAAACCGCAAACCGTTTGCTTGAAAGCCAAGCATACTTTGCGCGATATCATTTTCTCCGCATTGCTCAAGATGATTGGGTACCTAATCTCCTTGCCCTCGGAATCTCTCTCGACTTTGCCGTCCAAGGCCGGCGACTTGCGTGCCTCTGCATGGGCATAGTCCGGCCCGACCGTGTATACTTTAACGTCTGTGCCATCAGTCGGCATGAAGTCTTCGTAAATAAACGATCCCGTCTTTCGGACCCTGGACTCGGGCGAGTACACGCTACTCCGGCTACCTATTTTTCGAAACAGACGCTGACTGCCGCCACCCGCCGAAGTGGGATAGTAAATGTAAATATTGTGGTCTTCGGCCGACACGGGTTTCTCGACAAACGGTTTGTTGAACACCACCCCGTTGATCTCGACGTGGTCTTCAGACTCGACCAACTCGTGTAAATTGGGATCTTGCGATTCTCTGTCCAAAACCGCATACCTGGGTATTAAAATACCCTCGGACTCCAAAATAGAATACACCTGTCTCCGGTCCTGCAAGGCGAACTGAGTGGGCAAGTGGTTGATAACCAACGGGTTCCTGAGCTCGGCGTACCTAATTGCTTTTTCTAGTGGGAAACCTTTGGAATGGAATGATATGAGGCAATCGCAAATAGGCCATTCTTCGATCGGCTTCAACAGCAGTTCCTCTTCGAAAACGATCATTTTGAGGTATTCAAATTCCGCGAGCCTGTTTAGAATTTCTTTCATAGGTTTTGAAAAACTTTTCTTTTTCATTGCACATATGCCGACGATCACCTGTTTGCGATCCGCCGTCAACGTGGCCTCCATTAGCTCTTCTTCTTCGAGTGGCTTCATTGGCTCAAAATCTTCAACGAGTATGGTCGGATGCGTTTTGCAAAGTTCCTGGTAGCCCTGCTCCATCTCTGTATAAGACCACCAAAACTAGTGTTAATGGTCGAGTAACAAACTTTTATTACTTAGACTAAAATGCATTGCCAATTTAATTGGCTAATATCATGATAAAAAGCGACTAAATAAAGCAGATTTTTCAATATCACAGTTAAAGCAAACCTTATTTGGAAAATTATTAGGTAGTCGACATACAATACAGGGATTGACTTCTATACATTTTTCTTTGTATACACATACCAAAACAATAATAAATATTATCAAGTTCAAAATATTCTTATTATGCCAAATACATACTATATTATTTTATAATTTATTTATTTGTCATATACAAATTTTAATTGCATACCCCTTTGTATTATGTTTAAATCATAATAATGCAATGAGTAGTATAAGTAACTTCAAAAATTCTGTGCAAGACAAATATTAATTTGAGAGTAAGGAAATATCATAGGTAATAAATAACAATAATATAACAAAAGCAATAAGTTCATTTTTAAGATTGGTAGCTATGAAAAAAAATTTAAATAAATAAAAATACTACAACTTGCGAGGAATTTTTAGCTTTGATGTTTTTTAAATGATTTTACCATATGTAAAACAATTACAGTGACAAAATATTTAAATGAAGTGGTTGCTAAATTTACGAGACGAACAATCAACTACTTTAAAAATATAAATAACTCACTTGATTTGCGACATAATAAATGACAAATAACGTCAAAATAAACTTTCAGATTCAATAGTGTACATCTAATAAAAAATATTTATAGTTAAAACGCAATTTAGATTTTACACAAAAATAATTTAAGAAGTGACTTTTAAGTGATACAATTGTTCTATAGTTTAATGAAAAGTGATGAACCGTTCAGTAGCAATGTGAGTACATGTCTCATTATATCAAATCAACGGGCACCATATGCTAGAATATCAGTGAGCATGCATCATCTATTAATATCCATCAAACTAATTAACACTGCTAAAAAGAAATGAAAAGAGTGAATATAAATATTGAGTTTCAGGACTATTTATCACACTTAACTACTCACAAGTATGGCAATGAAATAACACTCGTGAATTAAAAAAAAATCTTAACTCGAATGATTTAAAAATATTTATATTAGATTATTTCAAAAAAATAACTTATTGCTTTATGTTTACCATCACGGTTTAATTAAATTTTAAACAAAGAAATATTTAATGTTTTCCTTTATGTGACATTTTTTAAATGAAATAATATAAGTTTTTTTCTCATACACCAACAAAAAATTGGAAATTTAATTAAAATAAAACAATTTTTTTAAACAATTGTTGGTAAAAGCAATCAAATATTCATTATAAATTAGATTTCATAAACATACTCATGTTTGAGCTGTACAAAATCTATAAACAACACATTAAGTAGATAAATATAACGCAAAAAAGTTCGCACAAAACAAACCAAAATGTATACATAAGTGTGTGAACCAATGTATTTCTAATATTCTACACACCAAGTGTAATTAGGTTATACATTTAATTCTCATCTATAAATACATATAGATTAAAATAATTAAATAGAAAAATAAATGTAGTAATTGGCAATTTAATTTTGTGTGATAAAGAGTACCCACAAAATGATGTTTTACACTAACTTAAATGTCTAGTGGTGGACTAAAAATTGTAAAACTAAATATGTGACATTATGTTGTTAAGTTTTGACTGTTGAATCAAAAAAGTAGCAAAATATCCAAGGTCATGACAGAACAGATTTAAGTTTAACGAATAGAACTCCGCCCTTGCGCACATGATCAGAGTTTGCTAAAAAAACCAAGATGGTCAAACTAAGGGTTTTATAGTGTTATTTTGGGTGTGTATTCATAGCTGGATCGAGCTTTTTGAAGAAAAAACGCAGGTTACTGCCAATTCTGTACAACACATTACACGATTAATTGTACCTGCACTATTTAGTATATTTTATCGGTAACATGGCTAAAAGGAAATGTCAAGAGCTATTCGTTAAACACTACTAAGATGAGAGTTGTTGTTGTTAACATTATAATCAAGTGGCTATATCCCCTAAAACGAACCGAGGCCTGACAGGTATTTGCGCAGATATCCCACCTGATAATATTCTACACTAGGAAAAATATGAAATAGGTGGAAGGCAAACACATGCATCTGGACGTTGGGTCAAGTTAATTTGAAGCGAACGTCAAATGCACCCAAAATGCAAGTGCAAAACCCTAAACGACAAAAATATAGTACTAAAAAAAAATTATATAATAAAATATTTACCAGGCGTGTTGGGGTCGTCCTCTTCCTTGGGGCTACAATCGGTGTCTGTGTGCGTTTCGTTCCATTTCCTCTTGCCGTTCTGTTTGTTTTCGTCCACGGCCGCGGTCTCATTAAACGAAGCCATTTACACCTGGAACACGTTTAAAAGGCTTATTATGAAATTTATAATTTGTAAAAACCGTTTTTGGACAAAAATTAATAATGAGTATAATAAACGTACGCCGTTGTCGGTTGCGAAAATTTAAATTTCAACAAACGCGTTCCATTTTATTATTATTATATATTAGAAGTAATACAATCATCAGCCGCGCTCGCCGTCGTTACAAATTGACACTCACACGACGCTTATATTGAACTGATAATGCGACAATGTGCAGATGCGGCACGGCTGATAGAAAAACAAAGTGGCAGACTTGACAGACATGAAATTAGTAACGTGTCGTCGAGAGTGTAATCATTTAAATATGAAGAATTAAGATTAAAGACGGCAAAACAATTTATTTTAATGTTTATTTTTGTCGGGGTCTGTGGAGGTATTCAACTTTCAAGACAGCTGTGAAAACAAGAGTTACAACACGCAAACGCAGCAGCCAATATTTTTTATTATTATATGAAATTATTATAATTTATACGTTTTGCGATTGTGCCGCCGACGAAGTGAACGCGTTTTTTTGGCGCGTTACTTTTTTAAGGTTATGTTGATAACAGAACTGTTACTGATACAACAGCTACAATGAGCTGTAATCTGTATCAGTATTGAATCTGCCTTTTAATCCTCAGAGTAATAATAATAATTAAGTCGTAGACCTATCGACTTAATAGATACCAAAAAAAAACCTAATGATTAATTATTTATGATTAATACAAATAATTACCAGTTCGATGTTTATTTTATAAATTAAAAAAATTAAAAAGTTCTTTTCTAACCTAAGGCTTCACTGGAGTCAATAGATCAATAACTTAATTTAATTACATTAGATTACGGCATTAATGAAGATAAGCACAATTCGTCTTAAACTTGGCGTGATTCTAATATACTTATCATTTTTGAAGACTAAACGAAACGCCAAAATGAATCCCTTAACGTAAGTACTACAATAACGCATAGTTATAGAGAGTTTTTCCATTACGTAAAATGATGTACAGTATTGGTTGGCGAATAACGTTAACATTATTTTTGCAATATTAAAGTACAAGTTGAATAACAATAATGTTCTTCACTGACACCGTACATCATTTTACATTGTGCAAAACTTCTAAATAGACTTCTTGGTATACTCCTTGTTATTACCTTAATACTAGGAGGAGGAGTGGCGGAGTGGGTAAGGCGGCAGTGTGTTTGCACTCACTGTCGCTGGTTCGACACTCGGTCATGGGCAATCCGTTTGCTGGGCGTGCAATCGTCAGTGAAAAGGAATTGCCATCTTCCTCTCCGGCGACGGACAGCGAATCCGTCTAGAAACCATCATCTCATGATGGCAGCGTTGGGCCGGCCGTTAAGCTTGATGTTTATTACCTTAATTAACACATAGCTTATAATAACATCTCATTATAGATATTGTGTGAGCACTAGTGATGGGAATTATTCAGATAACTGAATTTGAATATGCAATGATCAAATAGAAAAAAGCATTTTTAAATAATCTTACTATTAAAATAGTGTAGTTAATTATTAAGTGTACATTCAGTTTATTAAAAATTGAATACATAAAAATGTTGCATCTATTTGGTTATTGAAATTTATGATATCATCCTATTGCGGACAAATTGAGACTAAATATAATAAGCTTCATCGATCAGGATAGTTAATTAATTCTTTCATTGCTGTAGATGTATCATTGTAACTAAGGAATTGTTAGTAGATATATTAGTAAAAATATTGGTTGATTTAAAAAAAAAAGTAATAACTACCTACATTAATACTTCAATTAATATTAGTCCTGTTTGGGGTATTCTATTGACTACACACATTTGTATTTCATTTGTCATAATTAAGTACATGACCATATAATTAAGTTTATTTAATTTGTATGCAGTAATTCTTATTGGTTTAAATTAATGACATTTAAATAGGTACAACACATTAGAAATTATGTATTACAAATATCATTTGACTATAAAATAAATCGTCGACTTCATGCCAAAAGTGTGTTAAAAATGATCAAGTGTAAAAAATGACTTATTTGTGCTATGATTAACATACAAATTTACTTTTCTTAAAACTACAACAAAACCACTTGGTCACTTTTGACATGAGGCCGACGAAATATATGGATAAAAAGTAAGAATAATTGTATAAATGTATATTTTAAATAAAAAGCTTATATTTAAAAAATGTTTAGTACATATGAGGCACATAGTGCTAAAAAAAACCTATAAATCCATTACTTCAAGAAAAAGCAAATTATAATTATTTATTTTTATATTAAAAAAAAAAATAAGTTCTGCCCTTAAGTGAATACATTTTTTTAAGTTTGGGTCAATTAAGTTTTGAAAAAATATATTATTTTTAAATGCTTAACATATTATACAAAATTTAATTTTTTGTGTATTAATCTTTTCTGGCACAATGCGCTTCATATTAGGTATATATTTTAAGGTTTTCTAATGGGTACAAATTTTAGTCATGATGAGCTAGTGTAACTAGTCCATACTTACCAAGTACATGGAACTTAGGACATTAACTTGTATAATATAAGTTAAATACAGCTAATATAATATATTTAAAACTAATCGTGTTTTTTAATTTTTCAGGAACATGAGGAATATAAAAAAATTAAGCGAACAAGAATTGGAAAGCCTACCAAAAAGCTCATGGCATGATGAGTACAAATCCAGTGCTTGGATTTTTGTTGGTGGTCTACCATATGATCTTTCTGAAGGAGATGTCATGGCAATTTTTTCACAGTAAGCAATATATATATATTATATTGTATTTGTGTTGTTTATAACATTAATTTTATTTGTATTTTTCAGATACGGTGAAATTGTTAATCTTAATTTGGTAAGAGATAAAGATACAGGCAAGCAAAAGGGATTCTGTTTTATATGTTACGAGGATCAAAGAAGTACAGTTCTGGCAGTGGATAACTTTAACGGTGCTCGTGTGCTAGGTCGAATGCTTCGTGTAGATCATGTCAAAGACTATAAACCTCCTAAAAACACAGAACCTACAGCTCATATTAAAGATGAAAAAATGGTTGATGATTACGATGAGGTTCAAGTTAAAAGAGAAATTAAACAGGAAATTAGAACGCCTGACATCAAAAGAGAATTGTTTACACCGAAAACAAAACGAGAAATATGTACTCCCGAAATAAAAAGAGAAATATGTACGCCAGAAATAAAACGAGAAATGTGTACTCCAGAAATTATTAGGAGTCCAAACAGTGAAGACAGTGAAAGTAATGTTAAAAAAAAAAAATCTAAAGATAAAGATAAGAAACGGGGAAAAAGAAGTAAATCAAAAGAAAGACATCGGTCAAGAGAAAATTATAATAATTATAAACATCACAGAGACAGATCTCAGGAAAAAGATAAAACTAAGAGGCATAGATCGAGGGAACTAGATAAGAGTAAAAAAAGAAGTAGAAATGATCGAAGCAGAGAGGATACTAAAAGAGAATCTAGAACTGAGTTACATAAAAGACGTGATAGTCAAGATAGATCAAGAGATAGAAATAAATATCATAAATTGTCAAAAGAAAACGGAAGTCGTAAAAGTGATGAAGAATGTTATTATGACAACATCAAACGCTATCGTAAAGATGACAGTCATAAAAAAAAGTACAAAAAATAAGAAGCTATTAATACATTTACTTAAATATCATGTAAGTGCTTTTTATCTACAAATTATATTTTTTCTAGTTAATACAGTGGTCTTCATTGTTTTTTAAACTCTTTGTATCTTCTTCAGCTGTTGTGTGAACGGTAATTGATTTTCGATTTGCTTGAGGAGTCAATTTGTAACCTTCTTCCTTTTTAAGAATTGGTTTATTCAAATTTGCTTTCTTGTATAAATAGTTGAGTTCGAGAGTAGATTTAAGTAAATCCACTTTGGGTGGTTGTAACATGGTTGTATTTCTAAGGTCATTTTGCGACTTGGCCGGTGGTAACTGTTCCTTGTCTAAAGATGCTAAAGAACCCCTATGATTAAACTTAATCATTATACTTAACCGCCTAGCTTCTGCTTCGATATCTGATAAATCTTCTTTGTTGTTTTCCTCTATTCCTTTAAGAGACTCTACTTCTGAAGGATCTGTAAAATGTTTTATGGGAAAATGTATTACTAAAAAAAAAAAATATACTAATTTTATATTTTAAATTGTGGGAATATAAAAAATATCTTTAAAAACCAACCCTAAAAAATGTTTTACTTATATACGAATATACGTATTTTGGCGACTATGTTGCTATCTTCAGTGCTAAGAACAGACTGCTGTTAGAGACAAAAAAAATTGTTGTATTGGGTTTTAAATACAATTTTAATACTAATATTAACCTATTATTGGACCTTCAATGGGTCCAACTTAGTTTTAGGTGTAAAACAAACTATTTATTTAACAGTCCTATTTTGTTAGTAGTTGGCATTAACTTTTAACATTTTGGAAAACAAGACTATACACTGTATAATCTTATGTATACATTTGTCATCAATTTTTGTTATCTCTCACAGATTCATTGTTTTAAACTCACTTTTGTTTTTTTTTTAAAACCCATCAATTTATATTGTATAATATTGTTGCTAAGTTCCAGTAAAATAGGACAGTTAAAAACTGACCAGCAAAATTAAGAAACTTTTTGGAAACGATCGTTATAATGGTTTATTAGAAAAAATAATTTCCCACGGGCTCCACAATACTATAATAATAAAAGTACACTAAAGTTTTGTTTCTAAATTAAGATTTTACAAAATTTGTGTTGATCCCCTTATAAATTGATTAATTAGGTACTTGTTGAGGCATCCCTTTTATCGAATTATTACATTTTTACCTGATTTTTCGGGTTTAGTACGATCCTCAAATTTATGAAGCCATATACAGTGCAGTAGTCCATAAATTGTACCGCTCACAATCGCTAGAAGTCCCATTAGTCTAAATGATTGCCAGATCCCGTATGAACCAATCAATAGTCCTCCGATAAAACTTCCACTTCCACGACCTTAAAATTATTTTATATTTCAGCATTTTTGATGAACAATTAAAAGAATTCATTTTTTACCAAGGCTGAAGTGGCACATTCCTGAAACACCAATAAGTGTTGCTAGAAGATTCTTTGGAGCGAGTAAAGCACAATATGTAGCAGCCGCCACCCACATTAAATGAACTGCTAAAGACTCGATCGCTTCAAATGGAAACACCCACAAAGGATCTCTATAAGAAAAAATCTTTAAAATAAAAAATCTCATTTTAAAACGTAAGATGTTCTTTACTCAATGTATGAATATCCTATTAATCTAGCCGCGTGAGAAAAAAACGCTATAACAATTATATTGACATGACCAATTTTCTTTGATATTTTTTCTGCTCCATATAAAAATGGAATACTACTAATCGTTGCCACAGATACTGTAATTCCTATAAATAAACAATATTATAACTATTATTTTATAATATAATTTTAACAAATGTGATCATTTCACCGAAAGTAGTACGTTGTGCCATGGCAAATTATGAGTCTTAATTATTATTTTTTACATGTCTCAAAAATTGTTCATTTAGGGTGTATTCTGGTCAAAAACTGTGGTGTCAATCATAATCATTAATATCTTACTTATGTCATATTAAAATCATATTAATTTACTTCAATATAAAAGGTAAAAAATCAATCACTAGCCATTTTCTGACCCTTTCAAGGCCGTTCCTGACATCATGACAAGTTGCTTGAAAAAAAGCGACGTATGGTAAATTCAAAAAAAGTAAAATATGGGGAACACATTTTAGGTGTGTCCCAACATCGGTAGTTACCTTTACCGCCAGGGTATGGTTTGAGAAATTTTTTTTAAGGAACATAATACATTCTATCTAAAACTAACCATAACTTGGATTTTATTTGAGAAGCAGTATATTATCAGTAAAAACGCGGTGATAGGGTGAATTTGTAGATGAATGTCACATCATATAAGTAATTAAAATCTAAATATAAATTATAATAAGGCCTTATCTGGCAGTAGCTCCATGTCATTAAAATTAAAATGTTTATTCCCAAAACAATCACTATAATTACAGTTTCCGTGGAAATACCCACACCCCTCAATCCTCATTAGTTGGGCATAAGGATTTATTAGGTAAAACAAAACGTTTCTATGATGACCTTTTTTGGATTTTGACCTTAAAAGTAATGAGAATTAAGAGGATGACTGAAATTTTTTTTTAATTTGTAAAATTAAAAAGTGACTACTTTTTGCAAAATGACCTATATTTAATATTGTTTAAAATTTAATTTTTAAATTTTAACTTACCGAGTAAATAGTTAGATGAACCTAATTCTTTGAGGAATAAAAACAAATACGATTCTATAAATCCCCAACAATTACCAAGGACGAACAAAAAAAATAAAAATGCCATCACGTGCGGTAATTTTAATATAGTTATCATGTTTTTAAAAATGTGGTCTGCTGGCATTTTGATGCCAACTGGCATCATTAGAAGAGTCATCATCGATAAAACAAGTAAAATATCGTAAGTATAAAACGCAGACGAGTAATCCGTGTAACCTAAAACAAATATGCAACACAGGGTTTAGGTGTATACACTATATTTTTCTATTTTATTGTCGAGATATCGTACCTTTTTTTGCACTCATGTGATCAATTAACCAACCAGTCAGAGGAGAGAACAATGCCATTCCAACTGTTGAAAATAACCTTTCCCTTCCAAACTCACCGCCGTACCTTTGTATAAGATTTAAAGCAATTGGATCCATTACTGTAACCGATGCTGACAACATGGTAGTGCCTATAAACCGTAGTCCGAAATATATCCAAAATACTTTTTCGTTTGATGGTTTATATTCAGGAGGACATCGTTCAGGGCCACCAGTTCTAAAACAAATATGTATATTTCCGAATAAAATATAATTGTAGTAAATTCCAACTGCTTCATTTTTCTAATTTTTTTTTTATTATTATCAGAAAATATATTTACAATCTATACAACAGTGAGTAAAATAAGTAAATTCGGTGAATTTAAAATTTATAATATACACGTACAAATTAAACAGTATATGAATTACAATTTCGCTTCTCCTTACTATGTTTAAATCAAAATAAAATTGCTAAAAACCAATAATTGTCAAAATTGTTTACATTTCATTTCCCGTAATTACAAAACATGTTTCATGTTAATATTTAAAAAAGTAGTTATACACTTTAAAAATAATCGTAAAAAAGGGGTTTACGGTAAAGCGTGTAGGTCAAAGCGAATTGATCATAGAATAAAAATGTTGGTACCGTTAAAAAGAGGAGAACTTTAACTAGGTTTCTCTCGTCGATTTTTATGGAAAACTTTAATTTTACCTTAAATACGAGCACTTAAAAAAGTTTAAAAAATGTCAGAATTAAAATATAAATTGTGAATGTTGGGTTAATAATAATAAAAAAAAAAGCCGACGAGAGAACCTAGATAAAATTCTTATTATTTTAAATATGTAAAAAAAAATTATCTACGATTGTTATTTAGTTGATAAGAGAGAATATTTGTAGCCAGTTTAAATGACATTTTTTTTTTTTAAATCGCTGTCAAGGATGCTGTGACATTTCGAAAAATGAATAAACTACCAAAAAAAGAGTCAAGATTACTTAACTAATAATTAAACATCACAGTTTAGCCTTTAAATTACGATTTTACAAAAAAAATTGCGTATACCTAACTCCTTAATAAATAGAGGGTATAACGTCATCTTAAGCAAAGTTATGATTAAAGCAAAGTAACAATATTTATTTTTTAGAAAACTGTGAAAAGCAAAACAATGTATAACAAGTGGCTAATTATGTAGAGTTTAAGTGTGTACGTTTAGGCTTAGATTTTTTACCTAAAAATGCACTTTTGTAGCATACAATCCGCAGCCAATTCTTTTAATTTGTTATAAGTCAAATTTGTCGCTAAGACTCTGCCTCCGCAACGTAGATCGTGGTCAAGTAGTGCAGAAAAGTTGACACCGGATGATACTAACATGTCTGACGAAAAATGTTGACGAAAATCGGTGACCTGTTCATCCTGGTCTGGTTCAGGTAGCTCCATTCCTGGTATACACATTAAATAATTTATTATTTAAATTATTAACAATGTAAAAATAGCGTAACGGTAAGTATAAAATGTTTTCCGTATTGCAATTTCACCTAATGTTTCTGTCGGGTCCATAAGACCTGGATGCATGTCTAAAACCACAAACACTGTAGCTTCTTTTTTACTTGATGTTGCATTAACGTTGTTGAGCCCCGCGCCGATATTAGCTATTTCATTGACAGTTTCGTTTCCATTTAACAGAACACCCATCCTTACTTTTTTTTTCGGCTCTGTTTTCTTTACGCTTTTGAATTAAAATATAAAATGTATTATTAAGCGTTACTATTATTAACAGTTATTATCAACTATTGAATTTTTCCTCACGGCGGTTTTGTTACATTTTTAGCTTGCTTGGTTTTTTCATAAATAAAGAACAAATCCGGATCATCAATTCCTGGTTGGTGGCTCGAACCAGGTTGATTTGTGCCGGAAGGTGGCACAATACAATTCGGTAGCGATTGCTAAATTAATTAATAATTTTATAATTAATATTAAATAGGAAAATCGTAATAAATTGTTCAACATTAAAAATATTGTGGAAAATAAAACCCGGATAGAAACTGGTTTTTAAAATGTCGAACAAGATTTAATGACATTTAAAAAATATCCCAATCGTTTGCTGCCTGTTCTATAAGTGTATAACACGTGTTTTCTAAACTGAACTTACAGTAACATAGAAACAAGCAGTATTCAATTATACGGTATACCCAACAAAAATAATTGAAATAGGTTCAAAATTAAGGACTTTTCTAAATAAAGGTCTAAGGATAAAATATATTCGGCTGTAACAGCGATTAAAGTATTGGACTTGAAACTCTCATACTTGCTGAGGACTGGCTGTACCAGTGATAAATGTCGGTGGTCTGACGGCAATACTTTGTTCGATCTTAGTGCCCCATTTGTTTTCTTCTCGAGGTACACTGTTGTCTCTCATTAAACAATGGTCGTCGCATTCGTCCAAAACCAAATTAATTTCTTCGTCTTCCGGACACTCTCGGCTAGGGCAAGGACTCCACCAAACCTGTACAGTATTATATTATATTATTTGGCACGAAATTGCCACTGGAATTAATAATTTGTTTTCACAAGTACAAAATAAATATTAGAATTTAATTAAATTAGATCCGAAGCAAAAATATTAGTTGCGTCCTGAGGCACAGGTAGGAGTTAAGACCTTCATTTTCAAGTCCCCGGACCAAATGTAGGATCTCTAAATCATAACCCAAATCTTAACGTAAAAAACTGATTACATTTTTTGTTTTCTAATACTTGATTCAACTCTGTAAATTAAAGTTAAATCATCAATTACTAATTGAAACAATGTTTCAATGCAATCGTTTTATTTTAGACAGAAATAATTGTAAATGGTCGTTTCAAGTATAAAATAAGAGTACCTATTTAAATTCATTTTAAAAAATATTGGTGACATTTTTAGTTGCTATGTGGAGCGGACGGTTTCGTAGTTTTACGGACGCGACTGGTATGCGCCCAAAATACCCATAGGCGTGCTTACAGGGGCAGCAAATGCTAGTTGCTAGTGTGCTGGTTCATATTGAAATAGGCCGGTCTAATCTATTGCTGAATCTCAAACTTAAGTCTGTGCACGCCAATGAATATCACTCGAAATGTTTTTTTTTTTTTTAATTCTGTTTTATAGTGTAATTTATAATAAAAAAATATTAAATCAAAATACTTGCATCGACTTTCCCGGATTCTGGATGTCTCATGACGTACGCCGAAGGGACAGCTCCAGGCGTTTCCATTTGGGGTATTAATATTAGGGAATGGTGGAAAATGGCATTCAACGCTAAAGATATGAACAAGACAGGCTTGTACTGTCCAAATTTATCGACGAGAAACCCTGGTGAAAAAATTCCCGAAATGAATATTTAGTTATTTTAAGCAAGCACAATACAATAAATATTGTCTAATAACAAAGTGTACCCTAACCTGTCACGGGGGGAGCTAAAAACGTAGTCAATGGCAGCGCCAGGTAAACGATAGCGATTTCCTCGACGGAAAGTCCAATGCTTTGCATGTGAATGGTTAAGTATGGCAACAGAGACGAAGTAGCTGGTTACAAATGATAAGAGAAAAACATTTAAAGACAATGATATGTTATATATTTTCTACTAAGTGGTACTCACCGCCGTACATTAGGAACAAAGTGACCTTTAACATGATCAAATTATAATTGACATTGCATTTTTTACACAGCCTATGTATAGGACCGCCTTCGGTTTCTTCTTTTGCCTCGGACATGTTTCCAGTTAGCGACTAGCACGCGGTCGTGACTGATTCTGTTGCAGTCAACCAAAATGCGTTCGAAGGACCGACTATGCACGTTTTGTAGGAGGAGGAAGAGCAGCATTGATTGTTGAAGGAACTTATCTTTATAATGTACTGATTCCATACATTATAATATACAGGCTATTGTTTTCAATGTTTGTTTGTACACAAATTGTACGCGATATCACAATAATATATTGCGGTTCATATAATTTAGATTAGGTAGGTACAACAAAAATAAAGTCTAATAAATCAGCGGTTTATTATCATAATTTATTATAAAATACTTATATATAATTTTTTGTTTTTTAATGTTAAATATTAGATTTTATTAAAATATAATAACAACTATGGTCCCATAGTTAAACATGTAGACTTTGTTTTACAAAAATAAAACGTGTATACGACGGGTGTAATATATTATATACCTAGTCATTACAATTTAGGTATGCGTTGATATAATATTTGCTTGTCAGACGCCGTTCTTCAGTTTGTTAACCAGACCGTTTACAGGGTAAATGCTGTTGGGATTAGCTAAAGCGACAAACTGCTGAGCTACTTCTTCGGCCACCTAGAAAATGTAAATTAATTATTAAAAAATCTGACGCATCGATTACAAAGTTTTTTGTAGCAAAAATATATTTGAAGCTTGACAAACGGTTCTATAATGTATGAATACCAGCAGGTAACAGATACCTACTATATTATATCAAAGAAGTGAAAATACGCTCAAGAGATTATTATCTTGTAAATAATATCTACTACTATCATTCATTTTAGACGTCATAACCAAATCGTTTATTGGCAATAATTAGTCGTTAGGGAAATACAAAAAGATAACGTTTTTACAGCATACCTGTATTGTCCATCGGGGCTTATCTAGATATTATTTTTTTCTGAAGGTTTCCAAATTCAATTCAACGGTCTTCGCCCCCTGACCCCATGAGCGTAAATTATACGAATTCATTAATGCGATAAGTATGATGTAAATTTCAATATTTTAAGAATGTTGAGTATGTAGTTCTTAGTTATTTTTAAATTTGGTATTAAAATTTAAAACACACGGAAAAAATAACATAGAAGAAACCTGGTTTACAGTCAAAAGTACTAATATAGAACTATGAAAGAATAGTTCATTAAGTTAGTTAGTTAATATACTGGGCTCAGTATACTCATCTTGGATGACAATACAGTATATTGTAATAATATTGGGATTCGGACATCCAGGTCGCAAATCCCATTTGCATGGGGTCATTTCACTAAAGTTTAATGTTTTTTTTTCAAATCTTCCAAAATTAAATTAGTAATCTGTACACAAATTATTAAGTACCTTTAATAGGACTAAAAAGTAAAAAATAAAAACATTTAAAAAAAACTTTTTTAAAAAACTAAAAAGTAAAAAATAATTTTACTACAAGAAATTTAACACGTCATGAGTACCACGGCTGGCCCCTTCTGTCAAGCCTACTGTCTCAATATATTATTATATATCTGCTTACCTTAAATATCATCTTTTGTGCTTATTGTAATTAAATATATTACAGATTGTATAATTTCCAAATAAAAAACAAATACATTTCATAATACTTAACTCAACGAATTTGGACTTGTTTGAATAGGGCCCACGCTTTTCTTTTTAGTCAAAAATTAAAGATGATTACAATTTTTTTTGGAAAAAAGTTTTTTTTAAATTAACTTTTTTTTTAAGCTCTGCCTAATAAAATATGTTATAAGGAGTACAATTAGAAAAAAGTGCAACCAATAATTGGATACTATATGTCCATAGTTGGCAAAATCGTTGACAAAACAATTATGCTAATGTACCTACACCTACAACTTTTTAATTGTTTTTTCACTGAACTAATGTAGCAAAGAAGTTTAAAATGTTATAATAAACCCGTCGAATTACTTTGGTCTGGGCTTCTAGCGTAGAAGCTCCCAAATGAGGAGTGGCTATGACCTTTGGATGTGCTATGAGAGTTTTTAGTTCCGTGCTCTTCGGGGGCTCCTCCGTCAGTACGTCCAGCCCGGCTCCATCGCATTGTCCGTTCTACAACAAAATCGTTATAATGTGTGTTTATCGAATTATGACAATCAAATACTTACGTTTAGCGCTTTTAACAAAGCCGCCTCGTCGATAATTCCTCCTCTGGCCACGTTGACAATCTTTACCCCATTCTTACATTTGTTGAAAACGTCTTCGTTTATCAGATCTGACATAAAGACAAACGCGGTTTATAGTGATCATCATAACGTTCAATTATATTTTGAAATTTAAACCGTGACTAACTTTTAGTTTGTGGAATGAGAGGCGTGTGCACAGTGATGTAATCGGCGACAGGCCAGATCTCTTCCAGACCCAACAGTTCTACTCCAAATTCTGCAGCGGATGCATTGCTAATAACAGGATCGTAGCCCACAGTCTGAAACATTACATCGAGTAATCAATTGAAAAAAAACTATTATAATAAACATACGCATAGACATACCTTCATACCGAAAGCTTGCATTCTATATGCTACTTCTCGGCCGATTCTCCCCAAACCTAAAATTGCTAGAGTTTTGCCTTTCAGTTCGGTACCCATGTATACTTTACGGTCCCATCTACCTTCTTTCAAAGACTGGCAGCCTTGAGGTACGTGCCTGTAGCAATACAGAAAACAATGGTATAATTCAAAGCATCGTAGTTCGCATTTTGTAAATGCTTATAGCTTTAGGTACCTATATCATATACAATCAGCAAATAAAGTAACGTTTGAATTAGATATCAAATTCAAGTTCTATTATTAAAAAAAAAGCTTTGTCAAAAACTAAAAATTTAGTGTAGTATTTTTATTACACAAAAATTTCAATAAAAGTGTTATTATAGAGCTAATTAAAAAAAAATTAAGTCCTTATAAAACGGGTAAAATGGAAATCTTTTGGACCCTGATTTGAACAAATCAAATCATTAAAAACAGATTGGTCTACTAGTTTTACAGTATTACAATTTAATATTCGTTGCTCAGTTTTATGTAATTAAAATTGAAATCGAGTATATAAATCTGGAAAATAAAGAAAATTGTTCTGAAATTATTGTTTTTAAGCTAAGACTATTGAATATAATATTTATTTATTGCTGCAGTTATTATAAATTACAGTTATTGATACAAACATTTTTTTTTGTCAGACTATCACAATCAGTACTTGACAGCGTTTCTCTATAATATACGTTGTCTACAATATAATATACGTTACTCTATGTGTAGCTTTTACTCAAATAATTACATTGACCATTATGCAACAAAATTTCACCTATAATTTGGAACAAAAGTCAAAACCCAGAATATATTATTCATTTTATACGATTTTTTTGGTAAATTCGAATGTGGCCTCGGAATTCCTTTAGCACTTTGTTTTTAAACAGCTTTCATAGTTACAAACAACTTACAAAAAAAAAAAATCACAATTCTCTCGTTTACAATGAAAGATACAAATTGTGTGTCAAACGAAACCATTAAAAATGCTACATTAAATTTGAGGTCAGTTAATTCTATATAAAACAAAACAAATGTCTATTTAAGATATTCGCTGAATAATCAAAGCTAAATTAATGTTAATGTGTTTTTTAAAACTATTTATAATTAGATAATAACGTCATTGCATTGATTCATTTTATCAGGGTAAGTTTCACAAGAAAAAGTTGTGTAAAGACGTCCTGACATTTTTTTTAGTGTGTAACCACGACGTTTTGCTCTACAATAGTCTATACAGTCTATATAGTTAATAATTTACTATTTGCATACTGTATGTAAAACGTATACAATTAATATAAACGTTATGTCATATTTACCGAGCCAACGACATGATCAATGCGCATGTCAATTCACAAGCACTGTTGGAATTTCCGCCGGGAGTACTAAACAGAAAAAAAAAGAAAATATATTCAATTAACGTTTAATACACACACCACCTAAATATGTAGCTCGTCGCCGTGTTCATAATATTACACATATTATATTTCATTTCAATCCTTGCTATTCTAACTTTTTCTAAGATGTTTTTAACTTAATCCTTTATACAGAACCCATGTTCCATAATCCTTCTATTTAGACTGCACGTACATTAAATAATATATTTGTATATTAATTTTGAATTCATTATATTTTAATAAGCAATTTAAACATATTACAATTAAAGTGTTTCATTTAATCTCCACTAGTATTAACTATATTGACCGATAGAGTTAATTTTATTATCAATATCATTCCATCGTTCATATATAGTAAAACGAAAAGTAAATCTATCGAGTTTATCTTAAACCGACACTTATGAGGAAATTATCGTTTTTCAATAGCTATGTAAATATTGCCAATTAGCAACAAATGTTTTCTAATTTTAACATTTTTTTTTTACGACAATAGTTTTCTTAATACATTTACAATAAACGTATCGCCTTTAAACGATTCAGTCTAATTAATACTTTAATAACTAGATAACAATATTATTTTTTAATATCATATTTAATATTTAGAATGTATACTAAATTGGGACGGGGAGTCTACGATTAATGTTAGTTAGCAACTAGTTTATATCTATAACTTAAAAATCCATAAAATTCAATACAAGTGTATTAGATGATGGGGTAAATAATTAACAATCCAAAAATGTTGTTTAGAAAATTATAAAATAATTAAGTAGTTCAATATTTATTAATTGTGAGCGATAATTACTGTAGTATAATTGTTAATAGTTGAATAGAAATCCTATCAAAAAAAAAAAAATTAAATATTACATAGATAACTTCATTCTTTAAGTAGTGACGAATAATTGAAAGATTATGCTAACATTGAATTTTATCAATTTTTGCTAACACCGATTGTATACAAAACATAAGGTGAAATATTACAGCAAACCGTAGCGAAAAAGAAATTGGGATATAATAAACCTCCTTATCTCTTTTTCGTTTTATTAGCAAAAAATTAAGTATCACAGATAAGATTAATCGCGTGAATAATACTAAAAACGTTATGCTGGTTTATAAGTAATTTTTAAATATGCTCGACCTCGAGATAGTAAATTATTTATAATTTTATTCATAATTGATATAGACGCTCAATAATGTTAAGCAAATATTTGATTGCTATGTTATATAATAGTTACATATTTATATACAACTAATGAAACATCATATAACCGTCAGATTGATGGTCCGATTAGGTTAGGTCTATACTTTATGGTAATTATGTTTCTCCAGTTAAACAGAGTAATTTTCTTTAGAGACGCCAAACAATACTTTTTCAGAATATTCAAGTAGTCCTTTTGATTTTTTGCGGGTCTTCAACTCATCTAGGCCTCATATACTCATAAAAATAATTATAGTTAAATGAAGTCGATAATAATTTATCTACTTCCTGATAAACGAGTTAAAACAATTAAATTATTTAATATTACTATTTTTTTAATTTGAGATATTCTTGATTCATTACAAATATTATTGCTTTATTGCTCATATGTACTTTTGGGGATTTGTAATTTGCAAGGTTTAAAAAATCATTTAATGAAAGTAAATTTGTAAATAGTTTATTGTACCTACCTGTATCATGTATGAAATTAGATTATTGCATTAAGTATGAGGCACATGACAAAGGTGAATGTATAATGATTAATACCAACGTATTATGGAATATTTAGTGTAACAGTATAATTTAAAAACGTATTTAAAGTCTAAAAATATTGGCCCGTAAAAGTAACATTTTACCTACACTTGTCATTAGATTACAAAATACTAAAAAATCGCTTTTATAAAATAAATATAACAATAGAATTATAATTTATTAAATTCACACACAATTACAAGTTTTTGTGTTTCCTTGTGTGTAGTATAGACAAATGTAGGTATTAATTGTTATTTAAAATTTACTGTACGAAACTTATGTCGCATACATATTATTATTGTTGTAAAAGTATATACTTATTTTAGCTGTATACAAAACCATGGAAAGAAAGAAATTTAGATTTTCTACACGAATTTATAATAAGGTATTTTATAATTCCGGAATAAGTTTAGGTATGGCGTTTCTACCCTCGACGAGCTACAATTTTTATACTTCCGACATTCTAAAGAACGTTTCAAATTCTCTTTTGTCGTGCTCTACTATCGTAGGTATCTATTTTTTATGTTTCTCTCTCTTTTTTTTTTTAAATTAAATATGAAGTAGCAGAGTTGTCATAGGGTTTATGTATTTTGTTGGGTTGAATCGAACTAAAAAAAAAAAAACATAACAACGTCGGGCTTCTGTTAATGAAAAACGGGTTATTGCCGACTCTGAAAAAACTTGAAGGCGTATACTATACTTATGGTAAAAACTTACTTGAGGACTAGGATTCCGGCGTTAGTGGCCGACTCCAAGTCGATATTATCCACTCCCGTACCGGCTCGGCCAACCACTTTGAGTCCACTCTGAGCTCCGGCTTCCAACACGGCTTTGGTTACTTTTGTGTCTGACCTGACCACCAACCCATCGTACGAACCGGTCTGCATGCAAAAACAAAAAAAAAAAACAAAGTACCGTTATATTTTCAATTGTTTTACACGTCTACTGTTGTAAACGATTTTAAACGGTACATTACCTTCAGCTCTTCGACGAGAACGTCAACGGGCAGCTTGTACTTGGACTGCACTTGTATGCCGTTTTTTTCCAAGAGGGCGGCGCACGCTGGATCGCAAGCGTCGCTGATGAGCACTTTTTTAATGGACACACGTGGGTTGGAAGACATGATATTCCGGACGGTTAGCAAAACACGAGTGACTATGGAGTGATGATGCACCGCAGTGGACGGGACAGCGAGCGCCAAGCAGTCCGACTGGTTTTCTATAACGAATTACACATACGACAGCTAGTGGTTCGAAAACCTCTATTTAAATAATACAGCCGTGAGCCAGCCAATACCGGCCAAACAATTATTCCAATCGGAATTCCTTATCGGACACAATAGCAGCACCTAACGTGTATTCTACACACACACACACACATACTCAAAAAACTCTTAACCCTTAATCACTCCGATTCGATATGGTTAATTGATTTTTAATAATTTCTGACGTAATCGTTAATATTTTTTATTCACTCGCTAAATACAAGCGTTTAATCTCTGAACTCACGCGCAATTATATAGAGTGGCGCCATAATATTGAAGCATTCGACGGAAAACTCCACAATTACACACCTATTTAAACTTTGAAGTGCGAGTCCTTAATTCTTAAATCGTTAATAGTACTGAGTCAATTTACTTGTTAAATGATCAAAATATGCATGTTTAATAAATATACTTAATACTGTACTGTAATAGGAAATATCTTACTCCAACCACTAAAAGCTATTTATTTTATTAAAAGACACTCACTGAAGGTAAAAATGAGTTTACAAATATAAAAGTAATAACAAAATAGTCTTTATAAGTTTTATTAAAAAATTTAATTTGAGTCATCACCCAACTTTTAACTGGGTTGTAAAACGAAAACAATACGGGTTTTTATATTTTTTAAGTATAAATACTAAAAACTATAACTACTTGGAATGGTTTTTAGGGTACAATTTTTTTTTCTCAAATCGATCACCAGATATTTTAAAAAATGTTAACAATAATTTTTCATTTAAATAGAACTTACTTGTGAAATACATGAATTCGTATCCAAACTATACTTCTAAGGGGAATCTCAGAAAAAAAACAAAAGACAATTTACATCATAATACTGGGTTGTTATCCTGTGTATTATCCCATTGATGATAATATTTTATTACTTTTTAATGCAGGGACGTACTTAGTCATAGATAAATTTGTTGCTTGGTAGTCTCTATTAAACCTAACCTTTACAATATGAATTTAGTCATTTATCTTTATATCTTCAGTGTGCGACAAAATATAAAAATGTAAATAAATGTAATGTAACGCTCTATTCTCAAGGGCCTGGATTGTCGTGCAATATCTGAGCCAAAAAAGTTTTATATTGGTCGGCTTGCATGTTTTAAAAAAACCATAGCATTAACGACGACGGTAATAAGTCACCGAACAAATAAATACACACAAATTCATTAAAATATATTTAATTAACATTAAGACGTTAAGGCATAAAATCAAAAAAGCATATTAAGTGGTCATTATATAAGTATATAAACAACATACAAATAATGTATATTTAGGTTTTTTTTAGTATAGAAATAGAATACAATTAAATAAGATATCAATTGAATTTATCATAAATTTATCTAAAAAAATTTAAATCGAAAACTTAAGTGCGAATATTTAAAATAGTCTTAAAGATTGTATGTTTTGTATGAAAAAAAAAAAGAAATTACAAACGACATTGGAGTTAATTAATGATTTAATATAATTATTATAAAATCGCATTTAACCGTATAATTAATATGTTAACGCCTAACAAAATCGCCATGCATGCGTTATAGGTCATCATAATTGTTCACCTCGTCGAGCTTTGGCCTTTTAGATGGTCCGTCCTGTGTCGCAGATCTCTTGCCCATTGCCTGCGACGGTTGTTGGGCCAACGTTTCGCCGTGGCAGTCGGGCGGGTCGGAAAAATCGCAAAAACGACTTCTGATCTTCTGCAACACGTGTTGGTCGTCGCCTGCAGTCGTTTGAAATACGTTTTGGCCGCTACTGTCGTTACCGGCCGGCAATATGCCGTTTCCGATCAGCGACCTTTCGATGTCACAGAACGAAGGCAATGGCTCTTGGCCTCCTCCCAACGAGCCACTTTCCGATACGGTGCCACCCAACAAACCGGAAACGCTACAGTCGATGGACGACGAACAGGGCGAGGGCGTTGTGTCGCCAATGCCCGAAACGAACTTGTCGTACTCGGGCACGCTGGTGTCGTTCAGGTCCCATGGATTGGGGACCGGCACTATGCCGATTTGACCGTTGAACGACAAGTCCATTAGCGTGTAGTTGTTGCTGATGGAAGAGCTGCCCGACTTACTCCGCCGGTTGTCGTCGGCAACGTGTCCGTTGGGAGAACTCGTCCTGGGAACGTTATCTTTCTCTGGCGGTGTCGTCGGCGCTTTCTGCTGTACATCGAATTGCTCCAACGAGTTCCCGAGCATCTTCATCTGCGATACACCGGCATACTTGCCGTTCGTTTCCTTCTTCGCGTCCGTTGCCGACTGTTTATCTTTCAGAAGAACAACGGCGCCAAGAGGCACTTTCGCACTTGCCGCAGACGTAGGTGGACAGTGTTGTTCTTTGGATAGCCGAGACGGTGTTCTAACACTTTGTTTTAACGATCGCGACGGTGTCGTAGCTCGTTCTTTGTGCGACCGTGGCGGCGGTATAACGGAGCGTGCTTTGAGAGCTGGTCGCGATGGCGTTGCAGTCCGTTCATTGGGCGATCGCAGTGGCTGCTTCAAGCGACCATCGTTCGTTGGACTTTTGACCGGCATACCCTTGGGTTTATTAAAACTGTTCCCTTTCATGGGAGTTTTATTGTCTGCGATGGTCTGCGCTATAGGGGTCAGTGGTACCTTGAACACTGGCTCAGGCTTGAAAATTGTGTAGCTAATAGCTGGTAATTTTTTCAATAAAGACACTATCTGGTCATTTTCTTTGTTTTCAATGGGCTCGATAGTCACTTCCCGTTTGGTTCTCTGATCCCAACACAAATCGATTTTACTGAAAAAAAATTAATTAAAAAACGGTTTGATAAAACGTATATGTGACCCGCCGCGAAGTACGTTGTACGAAGTAGTTGATTTTAGCGTACGGTATAGGTAATTTTTTTTCAAAAATTTGATTTAAAACTTTTTTGTAAAATAATCACGATAGTAATAAGAATACTATATTGGTAGATCACTTTTCTTATTAGACTTACGCAGCATTATTAGAATTTTCTAAAATTTATAGTTTCTCGCTTAAAGAACTTTAACAGTGCACCCTAGAAGAGTTTTTTCTCTCTTTTTCAAAATTTTAAAATATTTGTTTTAAAAAATCATTTTTCGTATTTTTTACTTAATGTAAATAAAAAAAATCATGTCATTTAAATAAACCCTATTGAGAGGAATTCATGATTTATCTATTAATGTCAAGTGTGTATAGAAATGTTAACATGCAAAATGCAAACCCTATTTTTGCACGAAAAACGTAGGTATTTTTTCTTTAAGGTAATTTAATATTTTATATACTTAAACCTATCGAATTTTAAATGACGTTTATTCATTATTTTAATTTTATTTATGTCAATAAGTTCTCGAGGTATAAATTTTTACTTATTTTTTTATTAAGGGGTTCAGTATAGGCAAAATTTTCATATTCTTAATTTAAAAAAAAAACTTGTTCTTTTATTATTATAGAAATGGTTCTGTCTGAGTGATTCATTTATATTATTAGACTTATATAGCGACTGTTTCCAACGTTTTTCACTAGGTTTCTTCATTATTTTTGGTCATTTAAACTGTCATATTTTGGCTATTTAGTGGTCATCGATATTATATGTATTGGGATTGTTTAAATAAATTAAATATTACCTAACTAAATCATAATCAAAATATTATTTGATTGCAGACACTTAACCAGTTTATCACAGGAATTCATTCAAACTTCATTATTTATTAATTTTTATTGAACAATTTCTTTTAACTAGACTTTATTTTTTTTTAAATAGATCCTATATAAACTTTATCTTGTAAAATAGTGCTCATATAGTTTTCTTAAAGGGATTGCATGCGGTCTGTTTTTAAGGAGTTTTGTATAGGCAATAAGAAAAAATAGATTTTAATATATTTTGACCATATCAACTAATAAATTAATAATTTGTATAAGCTTCAAGGTATTATTTTTAATTTAAATAATTGTATCTATAAGTAAAAGCCAGGCAAAATTTGACTACTAGGATGGTTCAATTACAATTCTGTAAAGAGATTCAAGTTTTTTTGGCTAATTTATTATTTAATATAGGAAGCCGATTTTCATTTACATATTTCAGTTTCTTGTAATTAAATTAATTAAATTTGCAATTTTTTCAATATTAAAACCCAATTTTTTTACATAAAAAAAGCAAAAAATAAAAAATCTGTTTCCTACCTAAACTAGTAAAGTTGCAAAAGAAAAGCACATATATCTTTACAGAATTGTAATCGGACCATCTAAGTAGTCAAATTGTTGTCTGGATGTTTGGTCTAAAACATAAAAAAAACAACAGACCGCATGCAAACCCCTTTATGAATAAATCAAATTTGAAATAACATGACTAAATAAAATGTTATTGCTTTACTTTTGTAGTTGGTCTGAACATGTGTTAGAATCCATTGGTCTTCTTTTGATTGACGTTATTTCAACATTTCTGCCAATCTGAAAAAAGTTATAATGGTACATTAAAATAATAGTTATAGTATACGTAGTCTGATATAAGGCGTGTATATAATATGGAATTTACTACACAATAAAATTGACTAACTTAATCTTCATTAATCATTACATAGAAGAAACATATCGCTTCTCCGGTGGAACAAAAGCATAAGTGGAAATTTAACTTTAAATTTAAAAAATAGCTAAATATTTATATCTGTATAACAAAATGATTTATCTTAACAAAACTTAAATAAACCTAGTCTAAAGCACCTCATATTAAAATATACACTTATTTATTTTTAATATTTATTAACAGAATATTACTAGCTAATGGTTTAGACGTGTAAGGCATGTGGGCCTTTTTGACAATGTCAGTACTTTACAAATTATTTTCAATAGGTACCTCTATTGTAATATAAACAAAAATGTGCAATAATTCAAATAAAGTATTAGATATACATTTTTTATTTTGTAGTTCAAAAACATTAAATTGTTTATTACTTACAATTTTTGCATTTATGAGATACACTATTTGTGCACATTTACACAAAATATTGAAAAAATTAGTGTTTAATATAAAACTTAGGATGTATTAACTTTTAAAATAAAGTTTGTTTTAATATATTGTGTACATTTATTTATCTACCTATATGCATATAAATCTTTTGTAAGTAAAAATTATATTAAAAGTTTAAATATGTTGTCACAGTTATAAAATACATCAAATTACTTTTTGATTCACTAAATTTACAAATATTATGTTAGTGTGGCTTTTATATTGTTTTTTCCCCCACAAATTTTCATTGAAGTTTTTATTTAACTCACCATTATCTCTTTATTATGCTTTATACAAAATGTTTATTGTATTTAAAACTCATTATTTTTAAAAACATTTCACATTTGTTGTATACTAAGAAATGTTATTTTATAAAATTACAAGTTTGTTAAATAATTTTTATTTTGTGGGTTGTTAAACCAAATTACATTGTATGCTCGTTAAGCCAGTTTGACACCGAATAACATGCAGCATCTCTAGTTTCAATAATGCTAAGTAGAGTCAGACCGATAATAGACAATTTATAATATGTATATATTTTTAGACATTTAATATGTATATAAAAGTATGTATACAATGTGTATAGATTTTTTTATAGTACTATTTTAGTCAATCTTTTCATTAGTGTATATCTTGCAATAAACCAAATTAGAACTTGTATAGATAATTTGTACTAATATATAACTGTGATTTTACCTTTTTGCATGTTAAATAATTAGAAAAATATATTAAATAAGATCAAATTCGGAACCCCGCAATAAATATTTAAGTAAATGTATAAGAATGTATATAATATTCTTACCGAGAGATTTTTAACATTTATGTGACGTGAAGAAATATTTTGAGTCATATCATACAAAATGTTCCGATTCATGTTGAAATTTGTTAATAGTAGTGTCCGATCGACTCTGGGGGAAAACTATTCGAAATGAAACAAAGTATTAAAAATACTAATAACATAAATAAAAAGATAATTAAATTTAGCTGGTTAACTTACCAAGTCTAAAGTTCAAACAGTACACCAAGTATCGTCTATCGAAAGAGCAAATAAAAAATGTATGACTATTAATTCCGATTTCCGTCTTACCTAGTACCTACTCGTAAAAAGAAAAAAAGTAGATTTTTTAACAAAATGGCTGCTCACTGCTGCACTCGGTACTGTTCGCGATTGACAAAGAAGGGAGCAGAAGGGAACAGATCAATCGTTGAAATTGCAGTGCGTCATCGATGACATATTTTCCCGCCTAAAATTTTAATCATTTTAAAATTACTAAAAACCGACAGACAGCTGGACGTATCTCCCAGGAATCACACCATCTCGTTTTACTGCTTGTTTAATACCATAGTTCTTATACTATAGTATAATATAGTATACTGTGTACCACTTACCAGTATAAAGTATAGAATTAAGGGCTATATTAGAGCCGGCCAATCTCGTACCTTCATCACGGCGCGGCGACTGCTATTGTCACGATATAATACACACCTTAGATAAATAAAAGAAAAACTTCAGGCTTTTATCGGTCGGGTCTCGACCCTATTACTTTATTCTGTGTTTTTACTTAAGACTGCGATCTAGTGGTTGATTTTTAATTATATTTGTATGATTGATACACGATTATTAGTCGCCAGATAGCAGTAATCATTCCGGTAATAGTAAATAGTAATCGTTTCGGCTCGACCAGTAATAGTATCACTTTTTGTACGACCTTTTTTAGTACGAGTTAATAATATATTATTTTCGCTTATCGTTCAAATCATGGCCATAGAAAATGTTATTACAAAATAGATTAAAATATATAAACACATTACCTTCTTCTTAGCTTCGCATTGAAGCTAAAATAACCGTTCAACAGAATAACTTCATAGCTTTAGCGAAAAAATCAATCCCCAATAACCTTTTTAGTAACTACAAAAACGAACAATGAGAAGTCACTTTCTTTTACAACAAATAACAATTCATTTAATTAGTATGATTTGGCTTACGATCACTGACTCAGACCTCAGTAATATAATGTACCGCACATATTGGCAACAGGTAAGTATTGTATAAAATTGAATGAAACATTACATATGATTATTGATTTGAGACATAGACAGAGCTAGTTTGGCTGAACTGTTTACACATGCCCGATTTAGCTCTCTCTCTTTTTATCTATGGCCTATGCGCGTACCACGGTCCATTTAATAAAATGTCTGCATACGACTAACGACACACTATAAAGAAATAGAGCATTCAAAATCAATACAAAATAGAGGATTAATGGAAAAATGTATCTAATAATAATTTATATTTATGTATTAACAGATAATTTAAAGTAGAGGTTAACGAACATAAGTTATTAAAATATTAGGGGTTACAACAATCTCGTAAATATTTGTATCTAATTCAAATTCTTATATCTATGATTTCGTATTTTACTACGACTTAAAATATTATTCGAACGGAAGTAGTTGGCACGTGAAATATGACGTGGACGTTTCTTGTTTTGTTTGTAAAATATTAGCGTACTTATAATGTGTTATATCAATGTGTTTGTATGAGGATATGTGCTGAAATAATATTATGGTTATGAGTTTCTTAGCTATTAATAGATGACATAAATAATAAATCTAAAATACATAATTCACTCATTTATGTACATATTAAAAAACTCCATGTTATGAAAGTTCCTACATAGAGCCTTGTTCTAATAATGCAACAGCCTTATTGGGCGTATGCATGGTTATGCACATTGCACATTGTAACAAATAATATTTTATTGCAATGCGTAAATAAATTATATTACTTGTGTTCCGAATTACAATAAAGAATACATTTTACAAGAGAAGAGAGTATATAACCTATCAATATTATTGGGATATTGTATTTTGCATTTGCCCAAGAAGACAAAAATATGAGAAAATATCAATATTTTTTTATAGTTGTTGGTGAAAATCATTTAAACACTCATTGCTCAGCGCAACTGTGACTAATTCACACTTGGGGGTAGGATTAAAAATCTTTCGTCCGGTTCTTGCTGTCGACCCCACTGAGCGATGAGTAATTTGTTGACTGCATAAAAAAAATATATTTATAAGCAAATATATGGTCATTAGAGTCGTGACACAATGTTATAAAAATGTTCAAAAACAATAAGACATTTATCGTTTTCATTTTTAATTAAAAAAAGAATTAATTTCACGATAATGCCAACCATCGAAAGGGGACAGACTAAATGTTAAGTATTAACTGCCCAGGTCTTTCCGTAATAGTGAATTAAATAGCTACTATAAAAAGTACCTAATACCATTGATTATAAATAATATTATTCATAATCAATGCTAATACCCTTCAATTTTCTATAGTATTGTACACAAATATAAGTTTGATTTCAGCAATTTTTAAAGTGAAAAACTGGTCTTTAAAGTTTGCAGTAAGCCTAGTATGTGTATGAGTATATAAGACAATCGGTAGCTCGAAACAACTATGTTGATACTTGGCAATGGACGAGTCCACGAGACTCTAAATTTAGAGAAGTTGCGTTATAAATTACAAAAACGTTATTTACTCAATAGCTAATTTGTGATTATTTTAATGATAATTAGTAAACTTTATTAAAATGTATAAAAATATTACTTGTAAGTACGTTATCAATTATTGATATATAAAGACACTGGTATTATGTACCTGCACAAATACACAACGATCTTACTAGGATCATTTTAATGATTTTCGGGAATATGGGATATTTGTCGGCATTGTTTTTCGATAGTAGGTAATCGATTGGTTGACGACTTCAGAATTATTGTAATCAAGAAGTTCAATTATTCTGTGGAAACAAGAGAGATAGACCGATAAGTTAACTTCAAAAAGTTAGTTGGATAGAAAAGTGATCAATGGCTGTTCGTTAAATGCCGAAATATAAGCATATATATATATATATGCTATATTGTATATATAACACTAGCGAGCCGAACCTTCAACGAAGCTATTCAAATTTGTACTAAGACCTGAGATGAAAGTTCGCTTTATGTTTGTCAATAAAACCGACAGGAATTGATTCGTGTGAGCGATTCGCGAGAAGTTCGTCTGGCTAGTGTGTACCTGGTTTTATATTATGTAGCACATATTACGAGAAAAAAAATTAAGGGGTAGGTTTGAACACGGGTTGGGTGTGGGAGAAATTTTCCCACAAGCCTGTACATTCATAATTTATGTAACGGCTAATCCTACACCAGAAAATCATCATGCTACGCCTATCACCCGATGGTTACAATCAAATATTTTTTCAACTGTGACACTAGACAATAAACATAAATTATCATAATCTTGTGCACTTATCAGATGAATACAATTTATAAAACCTAACTGACCACTAGCCTCTATTCTTGTCTTGATATTATTACATCTATTCTTATACCAGACGAATCTACCTTGCATCTTCCTTTTGAAAATAATTTATACGTATGAGGCGAAAGCAAAAATATTTTCTAGAATAGGTTTGCATTTCGTAGAACCGTCGTGTTGGAATTTTTTTATTTTCGATACTTAAATGTTTGTTTTTATCACATTTAAAAATTTAACGTTAACGTCGCATCACGTAGGCAACTACGTAGGTGTCGCGTTGGGCGGTCAGCCGTCGCCCTCGTTCAAGTTGCAACGTCCCGGCGCGGCGTACGAATTGCATCGATTATGCACGTGCACGCCGGCACCGGTACCAAATGCTCATTGCCATTACGGGCACGCTACGCTTAGCGGAATACCTATATATTTTATGCATTTTTTCCTCTATAGTCCGTTACTACGCGTTACACATGTACGCTTTACATAATAATTAATATTGTAGAAAACGCAGTGCTAGATAGGCACAGCGCGAAAGCGAATACTATCGCCGCACACTGAATATTGTGTTTATTTTGTATTTCATCGAGTGTGTAGTGACTACTGAGAGAGTGAGACAGATTGAGCGAGTGTGTGTGTGAGTGTGCACCAGTCGGGTCGGTCGTTGCGGGACTGCCGCCACTGCCAGTGCCAAGTACCAACGCCGCCACTAGTCGCAGTCGCGGACCGCAGTTGTAAAATGCTGTTTTATCCGTCCGGTCGGCGTTCCCACAGCTGTTCGTAGCGCGTAAAATGGCGGCACAGACTACGACGACCAACGCACCTTTGGTGGCCGCTGGCGCCACTGCGGCGGCCTCTGTGGCCAACAACGTGTGGCCCAACACTAGAGACGACTACGAGTTACGCGAAGTTATAGGTAAGCGCTGTCCGCAATGCCATTTACAGTACTTATGCTCCGGCTAATTATTTTTGTACGTATAATAATAATTATATTTAACGTTAGTGTTACACCGCAGTTTCCTCTTAATTTTCCAATTAATATATACAACACAATGAATTTTCAATTTTAAAAAAATCTAGTCTCCTCTTCTAGGTCTGTTCGGTATATTAATGTATTTACAACACAATATCTTTATTTAGAGTTAATACCATATTATTAGAATTATTATACCTATGCCGGCGTCAGTCGATTTTGTTTTTCGTTTTTTCCTATTTATCCAGTTTTATTTTAGGTTATGACGCGATTTTTGACCGGGGTTTTATTGACTGGGTGACACGTTACGTTGTACTTTTTTTCTCAACAACCGAAAATTAGGTCGAGACGTGAAATCGCAATTTGTTTGGTGTATGTATCACTCGGAACTCCGTTAAGCGACCTCCAATAATTTTTATTATTGTTACTAATTCTCCAATATATGTATTACAATTATACGTCAACTAGTTTATGCTTTCCAACGAATTTTGAATTATTTTAAAAAAACACAGACCCTTGTATTTAAAATAAATGTAGGTATATTCAACTTTTAATAATACCAATCACCTACTTCAATCTCTTGCTTGTATTGTTGTTATCACTTGACACTTATCATGATTGACACTCTCAGCTCTCTATTCAATCACTGATCAATTCTGGTTTAATACTTGTTCTGAAAGTTGAAACCATTTATGTCATTGCATTCGTATTGTTTTTATGTAACAGTTTAGTATTATAAATAATTAATTATTATAATATTTTAACAAAACACATTTATATAACAATCTAAATTTTATGGTTTTAACTATAAAAAAAAAATCATAAGTCATTGATCTACATGATTATGCTTTAAATTACTGTTTCAGTTATACATTTATTAACAAAGTAAAAAAAAAATGGCTTATTACCAAATAGACTATAAGTTATGTTTAAAAGGCGTACACATTTGGTTTAGTTTGCCCAAATTGGCACAGTGATAGAAGCATTGAGAAAGCTTTCGAGACCATAACAGGTTACGGGTTAATTAATTCAAATTTAAATGAATAGGTTTGTTAAAAAATAAATAGGAATATATATGAAAACAAAGATATAGTTCATAAATGCATATAATTTTCCTTGTTAATGTATTTACAGTAAAGATTATCAATGCATCTATAGTATCTATTATATATAATAATATTATTTACTTTGGGTACTGAGTCAATGAATTAGTTGTTAAAAAATTCAACATTTTAAAACTTCTTTTGATTGATTTACTTTTTAATTTGTTAGAACTAGGTACAGTGATTAGTAAACAAATAGGTTGATGACCTAAAAATCCACGCTTTATCAAGCAATTAAATAACTAGTAGTGTGATGTTAGGTATCACTAAATTGTTAGTATATGAATACAAATTTAACTAAGCTTACCAAAAATAACCAGATAATAATGTAAATTACAGGTGTTGGTGCTACAGCAACAGTGCACTGTGCATATTGTAAGCCACGTAATGAAAAATGTGCTATCAAAAAAATTAATTTGGAAAAATGGAACACCAGCATGGACGAATTGACAGTAATATTAAATGCAATATTATAATCTGGTAGATTAGTCTTTAATTTTAGAATATTTTTTTTTTGTAGAAAGAAATTCAAGCTATGTCCTGGTGTCAACATGAAAATGTTGTTACCTATCATACAAGTTTTGTTGTTGGAGATGAGCTTTGGTTAGTGTTGCGTCTGTTGGAAGGTGGATCATTACTTGATATACTTAAACATAAAATGCGAACAAGTGATTGTCGTCATGGTGTGCTCGATGAAGCTACTATAGCTACAGTTTTAAGAGAAGTTCTCAAAGGATTAGAATACTTTCATTCTAATAGTCAAATTCATAGGTAGTTTGAAAATTGGTTGTTAATTTAAAAAAAAAATGAAAAACATTTTAATATTGTTTCAGGGACATTAAGGCTGGTAATATTCTTTTAGGAGAAGACGGAACAGTACAAATTGCTGATTTCGGTGTGAGTGCATGGTTGACTACAGGGTATGATACAAATCGTCAAAAAGTGCGGCATACTTTTGTCGGCACTCCTTGTTGGATGGCGCCCGAAGTCATGGAACAGGTACACACGGTAAAAGCAAAATATTTTACTAAAATAAATGTAATCGGTAAATACCGTCCCCTAAGCTCGAAACTTTAAACCGTCCGTCCAAAATGTACAATAGGATCATGGATACGACTTCAAGGCAGATATATGGTCACTGGGTATAACGGCTATCGAGCTGGCTACTGGCACAGCGCCTTACCACAAATATCCACCAATGAAAGTACTTATGTTAACGTTGCAGAATGACCCACCGACATTAGATACAGGGGCTGACCAAAAAGATCAGTATAAGGCTTATGGTAAAACATTTAGAAAACTTATTACTGATTGTTTGCAGAAAGATCCAACAAAAAGGTAACAGTTTTTGTTTTTAAGCTGACCTATTTGTATTATTCTATAATATAATTCGAATGTTATATTTCAGGCCTACAGCTACTGAACTTCTAAAACACCCAATTTTTAAAAAAGCCAAAGATAAAAAGTATTTACAATCTACTCTAATTGCAATTGGTCCGAGTTTAGAAACTAGAGTTCAAAAGGTAAAATTTCCCTATAGTAACATTATTTTTCCATCATTTTATGGTTTGGTATTATGTAGTTTACTTCATTATGTAATATCTTGTAGAACCAATAATAATTTATTAATTTCTTTAAACTAATTATTTATTTTAGGCTTCAAAAAGGCAACCAGGTACATCTGGTAGATTACATAGAACAATAACTGGAGAATGGACATGGTCTTCTGAAGAAGAGTGTGGGGAACAATCGTCAGATGATGAAGTATAATGTTTTTATACATAATTTTTTAAACAGCAATATTATAGTTATTATGCCTTATAATTTTATAATAATGTAAAGAAAGTTTACTCAAGGATCTAAAGGATACTTTGACTCTATACTCTGTTCCAAAAGAGAATACTCACCGTTCATGCATCACGACTGACAGCTGCGGCGCAGAGCTGGACCTTGATTTCCCCCCACTTACATCTCTACCAAAGTTGACGTTATTGCGACGATCCAATACAAACTAGCCCGATGTAGGTTGTGCTGTAACCCCGCACAGCCAACGCGTGAAGTCACGTCGCACAGTGGTCCGAGAGTGAATTCTAGGCGCTCATAAGTCCTATTATTAAGTATGCAAAAAATATAAATACAATTATGAAATATTAATTTTAATATGTTTCTTAGATATAATATAAAATTTCAAGATCAAATGTGTACCTGGACGTTTTTTATTGCTATTTAAAGCTCAGTTATTATAGTTTGGCGGTTATTTTGATTTCAGAAAAATGATATTTCGCTTACAATTTTTTTTACACTTTGCTCTTTTAAATTTTTTTTTAAATTTAACTAGTAGATAAGTAAAGGAATAAAATATATTTTTTTAAAAATAATTTTTTTCAAACTAGTAATGATTATTTTGAATGTTTTTTTTTTTAAAGAGTAGTACTAAAATAGGTTTTGCAGAGCAAGTATTCAGGTTTTTAAAAATATTAATTTTTATTGCGACAGACAAAAATTAATTAGTACACAAGGCAAATTAGAAAGTACGATTTATCAGTTTGGCGGTTATTTTGTTTCCAGAAAATAATATTTCGTTTACAATTTTTTTACCCTTTGATATTTTCTTGGTACTTTCTAATTTGCCTTGTGTACTAATTAATTTTTGTCTGTCGCAATAAAAATTAATATTTTTAAAAACCTGAATACTTGCTCTACAAAACCTATGTATTGATATGTGGGTAAAAATTGGCAAATTTTAGTACTACTCTTTAAAAAAAAAAAACATGTAAAATACCTGATATTTTTCATTCAAAATAATCATAACTAGTTTGAAAAAGTTATTTTTAAAAAAATATTTTTTTTTCTTTTATTTATCTACTAGTTAAATAAAAAAAAAAATTTTAAAAGAGCAAAGGGTAAAAAAATCGTAAGCGATATATTATTTTCTGAAATCAAAATAACCGCCAAACTATAATAACTGAGCTTTAAATAGCAATAAAAAACGGCCAGGAACACATATGTTTTTGAAATTTTATATTATGTCTAAGAAACATATTAAAATTAATAATTCATAATTGTTTTGATACTTTTTGCATATTTAATAATATGACTTATGAGCGCCTAGAATTCACTCTCGGACCACTGTGGGTCGTCTGTTCAAAGCAGGTGAGACATGTGCAGATTAAGACCAAAAGTTTTCGGCTGCCTAGGTATTGTTTTTTGGAACAGAGTGTAGGTATATTTTTAATTAAGAAAGAAATGTTTAGTATTTTAGTAATACATTTTTTGTACCCTTGTGGACAGTCTTTGAATATTAATAAAGTTATTTGTTTTAATAGTTTTAAAATTATTTTCAGTGTCAAGAAAAACCACTGAATAAACTAGTTGAGACCACACATTCTTCAGATAGTGAAAAAGAAAGTGACGATGAACACTTGAACTTAGTCTTGCGCATGAGGTTTGTTTTAAAACTGTAAAATTACTTTATACAAATGTGTAAAGTTTCACGGATTGAAATCAGAGTCGGTCTGGCACCTAAGGACCACCTCGGATTCTAAATCTCTAAAAGGGCCCCCATAATAAATTGTATTTGTACATTTTATATTTCATAATTTTCAGTGATTTTTCTCTATTCCACATATTGTATTAAATGGCCAGGCTCCAACACAGTTGGTGGCACTGGCTATGTCCGTGACCTCGCAGTCCTAGCCAGGTTGACCCTAATTGAAAAGACAATCTTTGGTAGAGTTCTCGGGTATAACAATTTTGGTTATCCCTCACGATTACAGATATTTATTCTGTTCTAGTACTTGTTTACGTTTCGGTTACCCATTATTTAAAACAAAATGGTAAATTTAAAAAAATGGGTATACAACATTTTTATACTCGGGTATCAAGACCTCTAATTTTTAGATTTATCCATGACACGTTTTGTTGTTTTTCAACCATTTGTGTTCATTTTGATAGAATTTCATTGTTTATAGAGACATACAATTTTTATTTTTATTCTTATATATTTGGTCTATAAATATCATTATCTGTCCTACTTTATTGTGTAACAAATACATAGATAAATTTAATAATTGTCAGTTTTATATATGTAACATTTTTTGTTTAGAAATGTTAATCGTGAACTAAATGATATACGATTCGAGTTCCTTTTGGGCAAGGATACACCTGAAGGTATTGCTACTGAACTTGTAGGTGCAGGTTTAGTAGATGGGAGAGATGCTGAAGTGATAGCTATGAATTTGAGGGTACTAATTGGCAATCAGACGCAACATAAACCAGTCACTTTTGCACTTGTAAGTATATAAGATTATAAGAAATTGAGGTTTTCTAAAACATGTTATTATTGATATTAGGTATCAGGTTGTAAAAATGATGAAACACCCGATGAAAAAATGCTGATTGGTTACGCCCAGTTGTCTTATGCAGACTGAACGCATAGTTACCAAAACGACTTATACATCTATTTTTGTGCCACTAGAACACTTTACTCTGTAAATCATATATACACTTGTGTAAATATTTATATTTATAAATAAATAATTTATTTTTGTATATTATTTATATATATGTATTCAAACAAATCCTAGTTCAGAATTTTGATTAAATTGAGAGCGTGAAATGCTTATGTTTAGATAAATTGTCAGTACCAGCATTATACATTTTTATAATCGTTACTTAATTCTGAATAATAAATTTTTGTTTCAATTAACAATTTTAGTGTTTTATTTTTTACAGATAAAGCGCAATAGTATTATATTCAATTAATTTGTAGTATATTGACGTTTTTAATAATTGTTTTTGACCGTTGAATACTATTACACAATAATTTTAACATTATGTTATAGTACATAATACTTTTAGGCTATTTATGTACTGGTGTAATGAAATACTATTTCAGCATCAGAACTATAAGTAGGAGTATAAGACTGAGTATCTACTAAAATTTAATAGCAAAAGCTTAAGTAGATCATGTAGGGCCATCTGTTGCCAAAAATGGGGATGACGTACTTTTTTTACTTGACTGTTTACCGCCCAATAAATGGAACCATCCGAGTGTAAAAACAAATTGTCATGATACATAATAAAAAAACCGTTTGTTTTATTGTAGTCTTGTGATATTTTAATACTTAAATATTTCATTTTACAACTGTCAAAATCATAATTTATATGGGAATGGATAAATTTATATTCTTGAGTTTCTAACAATATTCGTTATTAAATCAATTATAATCACACAAAATAATATAAGTATCCATTTATAAAAAAAAATTGTATTTTTATGATCTAATCTCTTGTACACTAGATCATCTGTTGATCATATTGAGCTCTTCGTCTGGAATTGGTTTGTACTTCAATAGCTTAGCATATTTGGTTAGTAATGCTTCCCAATACCATGTCACATCTTTCATCTTTAATTGTGTCCTAATGAATCGATACCCTTGATCAGCAATTTCTTTGGCTAGATCATCATGGTCTTTGAAAAATAACAGAATATTTCTATAAAACAATAAAAAAAATGTATATATAAAATGTAGATATTTTTATAAATATAATAAATAAAGCTCGAATGTTTATGACTGCATATTTTTTTAGTGAAATCAGAATTTATGTCCACTGTCAAACAATAAGAAAAATTGTTATTTACTTAATTTCTTTTTCTGAAGCATTTGAACTTATGGGTACATAATGGTACCATGGCTTCATAAACTGATAGAAAAATTCTTTCCAATCGTCTCCAACATGGAAAATAAGACTTTTACATAAAAAAAGATGTTTAAATCGAAAACTAGCTGCAACACCTCGAAAGTTGAACAAATACTTATATTGGCAATGATCTTCTAAAGAAACTTCATTAGCTGGTGAAGCATAAAGGGTGTCCTGAAGTAAATATATTCATTATAATACTATATAAATTGTAGTCATTTTTGTGTTATCACTTTATCTGATTTCCATGCTTGATTTTTGGTATAAGCTGCATCAACCAGTTCTGGGTTGCTTCGTGATAGAAGTATAAGAGGGTCTCGTTGATCACTAGTTCGGGATCCTCGAAAGAATCCTTTGGGTTTTTTATCTTTCCATTTCCATACTTCGGCTTCTTTCAATATGGACTTCCTTAATATATCCCAACGACCAAGTCCAGATGGATGAAGTTTAATTGCTGGTCCTCCACTCCAAAAAGACCAAGCAGGATACATTACATCAGCATAATCATCTGTCTAGCGCAGTAATATTAATAAAAAAAACAGAAAATGTATTTTGTTGTTTAATTATTAGTTTTATTTGCTTCATTTATTTTTGTTTTTTTCTTTAATTCAATAATTAAAAAAAAAAAATTAAGTTTTAAGCTATTTGTTTGGTAGGTACTTTTTATAAAAAATATATCTCACCTTGCTAAAAGAGAAAACTGGTTTAGGATCTCCATAGTGTTTTATGACTTGTGGCCAGTCACGTGTGTTTAATATAAACTCTACGTCGGGAATATTTAATTGGATTTTAGATAAAAAATATTCAACACCTTCACAACGGGCTGGAAACATACATTTTGTTTCTCTGTACAAATCATGATTATATATCATATACCTTGTTCCTCTAAAACAAACACAATTTAGAGTACAAATTTTATTGGATAAAATCATTAAAAATAAATTACTTTTCAGAAGCTGATGTTATCATATTGTGAGTGATGCCATTTTTGAATGGTTCCAGATCATGCAGTATATTCGGCATAAAACATGTTCCATTCTTGTGTTTACAGGGAACATATTCTTCTTTAGCTTTTAAAATGTGTTTAATTATTTCATTGGATACTAAATTATTAAAAAAAAAAAATTAATTATTATATTTTTATTTGAAGTTAAAGAATCGTTTATAAAAATGATTATTTATAAATTTCAGTTATTAAGAGTTTATTAGTCAAATTCTATACTCACACTTATCATACATGCTTGAAAAGCCATGATGACCATGTTGGCATGTCACAAAATTGACAAAATAAAAAAAAACAATGTACAGTTTGTACATGATTTGTCTACTAATAAATACATCTAAACAATAAAAGAAATACAAATTGTTTTAATGTAATGTCGTTGCGCCATGCAACATCCTTAAATGGATCAATTTTCAAAAACGCAATACTATTTTTAAAAAATTATAAGTATTGTATTACTAAGGTCAATGAAAACAATAAATGCCGTTTGTAGTTTTGCATTAATTTGAAATTTAATTTTTGATATTTATGTACATAGTAATTTTTTGTAATTAGGTACTGGTTATATAATATTTAAAATAAATAAAATAAGAAATAATTTCAAACACTTGTTAAAAAATGTAAACCAAACTATAAATAAAAAATTGGCAAACTATTTAAATGGGGCACGATACAAAAAGTTTTCGTTTGATTCCTTGAGCCATTTTCATTGGAAAAAACGCTGTTATCACTTTTCGTTATCAATTAATTTGTAAGTTTTTTGAGGTTATATTTATATTACGTTATCATGTTCGTGATCTGTATAAATGACACTTCCTAGTAATACAACCAAGTATCCAACAGCAACAACCAACTGAAAAATTATTGTTTTCATCTGTTGACTTGAGCTCTGAAACAAAACTTAATAAGTAGTTATAATAAACTTCATTAGTTTTATTTTTTTTAGTACTTAATTCCTAATAAATTGTTTGTGATTATTCGCGTTTTGTTCTAGACGACTACTTGAAACCATGGGAGTTCCTAAATTCTTTCGCTATATGAGCGAACGATATCCTTGTCTAAGCGAACTAGTCAAAGACTACCAGGTAAACTCAACAATTTTACTAGTTTATCTAATAAAGTTTACATACTTATTTGTTTTTCTTTTATTTTAGATTCCAGAATTTGATAATTTATACTTGGATATGAATGGTATCATTCATACTTGTTCACATCCAAATGACGATGATCCTCATTTCCGTATTACTGAAGAGACTATAATTAAAAACATATTTCATTATTTAGAAGTATAAATCCATAGTACTGTTTTTACTATTGTAATTTTTTTTAAATATTATATTTGTTCTTTAGGTATTATTTCAAATGATACAACCTCAAAAGTTATTTTTTATGGCAGTCGATGGCGTAGCACCTCGTGCTAAAATGAATCAGCAGCGTGGTCGTCGTTTTCGTTCAGCACATACAGCAGCTGAACAGATGAAAGCTGCTGTTGCAAGGGGTGAAGTATTACCGTCAACAGATCGCTTCGACTCAAATTGTATAACACCAGGAACAGAGTTCATGGTGCGTTTGCAAAATGAACTTGAATATTTTGTCAATGATAAGATATCCAACGATCCCTTGTGGAAAAAAGTCCAGGTCATCCTTTCTGGTCATCAGGTTCCCGGCGAAGGTGAACACAAAATTATGGACTACATAAGGTATATGAAGTCATGTCCGGGATACGATTCAAATACAAGACATTGTCTGTATGGTTTGGATGCAGATTTAATTATGTTAGGTTTATGTACACACGAACCATACTTCTCATTGCTTAGAGAAGAAGTAAGTCATTAACTTTTAAAAGTTAAAAAATGTGTTTTTTAAATATATTTTTATTTTTATAGGTCAAATTTGGTCGCAAAACTAAAAGAGAGACATCTGTTGATGAAACAAAATTTTTTTTATTACATTTGTCATTGATGAGAGACTACTTAAATTTAGAGTTTCAGGCTCTTAAAGAGACTCTACCCTTTAAATATGATTTAGAATCTATTATTGATGATTGGGTAATTTTAATTTTCTTGTTATTTTAGTAATAAAATATAATGCTATGAAAGTAGATTAAAAAATTTTCAAATGTTCCATTTAAGCTTTATTAGATCATAATTTTAGAATATTTTGGTGTCGCTAGTAGCGAGTAATATCACAGTTTTGTTTGTAGAAAGTATATTTCTTATTTATTTTTCAGGTAGTAGAAATAGAAATTGGCGCAACTAGGGGGGGGGGGAGTTCTAATCCTTCTAAACTCATTCAGGCTCTAAAAAAATATCACAACCAATTGGGCACAGCCCTCAAGTAAGGTTTATAATTTTTACTGAAATTCTGAGGAAGCTTTGAGAGTTTTTAAAAGTTCTGAACTTCCTCAGCCCCTCCTCTAGTTGCGCCAATGGAGATTAATTTTTATACAATAAGACTTATCTTAATTTTGTAAAATTTTATGCTAGAAATGCCTAATTTCCCAAAATATATTCTTGTACAAAAATATCTCGAAAACTCTTATGTTAGAGTTGAAAAACCCACTAACAGAGAACCAATATAATTTTTTTTTTATAGTGTTCTATAAAAAATTCTATATTTTTTCTATAATTTGAATTACAAAAATATTTTGCTTTAATATTATATTTTAGTTAAAACTAAAAACTGCTCTAAAATATAAGAATTAGAACTAACGATTTTTCAATTATTACTATCAACAATTTAATTACTTCACATAGAATTTATATTTATAACTTTTGTGCATTTTAGGTTTTAATGGGCTTTTTAGTAGGTAATGATTTTATACCTCACTTGCCAGAATTGCATATCTCTAAAGGAGCTTTACCTATTTTGTATAAAGTATACATGGATGTTCTGCCACAAGTAGGAGGTAATATTGAAATATTAATAATAATAATATTACTTTTAAGTATTCATACAATTTTAAAACTAAATTAAATGATTTAATTACTTACTAGGATATTTAAATGAAAAGGGTTCTTTAAATCTTAAAAGATTTGAAAAATTCATGGTAACTTTAGCAAATTTTGACTATGATCAGTTTCGTGAAACTTTTGCCGATGTGAAATTTTTGGAAGGAAAACGAACTACTGTTAATGGAAATGAAGCAAGTGTAATAAAAATCTGTTAAAATGTAAAAAATGTTTTAAAAGTTGAATTTTATAAAAATGTTTATTTTTAGGACGAAATTGAACCGGTTTACAAAGATGAGCTAGCAGCTTTAATAAAAGATACGAATAATACAGTAGGCTCTTAGAATTTTTTTTTTATTTCATTGTTTTATTAAATTTAAATTGACGTTTTAAATTAATTTTTTTAGCTTTTAAGTGATGACGAAGAAGAACTGACTGAAACTGAAGAAGAAGCCATGATGGCAGAGTTTACATTACATAAAGAAAACTATTATAGATGCAAACTAGAGTACAATGTTATTACAGAGTATGTATTCATGATAGTTACCGACGAAAGGATCAAAGCGGCATTACGCATAGTTTTACATGAGAAACAATGGCAACAAATTATTATAAATAGTCTATCAACCCTAATCGTATTCACACTTACTCGTATACTAATGTACAATTTTAAGCACATTATTGCCATTAAAATGCTCTTATAGATATTTGTATTTCTACCATTTACAAATCCACATCGAAGCTATCATTTGAAATTTAATTTTTGAAAACCTGTGAGCTTTCCTCCTATTATGCTCTGTCCTCATTATGCCCTGACTCTACTGTGCTGGTTTTTTTAAAAATAGTAATACATTTTTTTTATAGAAATTGGGATTTTTTGTATGAAATATTTTATTTTATTTATTTTTCCTTTATGGGAATAAAGTGCCTATTTTTTTGTGCAAACAAAGTGAATATGTAATATTTTATTTGTATCACAAACTTATAATTTAAATCATATAACTGGATAGTTTGTTATCATGAAACTTATTTTACCCTACCCAATAGTGTATACTCATTCATGTGAGTGTATACTCTGTCGCTTTGAAGAATTTTGTTAAATAGCAATTGGTTTACTTCTAGTAATTTTTATTAATTTAATATAAACACTTATATTTGTTTAAAGTGATGTTATGAGATCTCAAGCCGAAGGATATATACGTGCCATACAATGGAATTTAAACTATTATTACAATGGTTGCTGTTCGTGGTCTTGGTATTATCCTCATCATTATGCTCCATATATATCGGACATAAGAGGCTTTGAAAATCTTAAAATAAATTTTGATCTTGGACAGCCGTTTTTACCATTTCAACAGCTATTGGCTGTACTACCGTCGCTCAGCAAAGAGTTATTACCTAAACCTTTTCAAGACCTTATGACTGAAGAAGCTAGTCCAATCAGAATATATTATCCAGAAGAATTTGAAACTGATCTCAATGGCAAGCAGCATGAATGGGAAGCTGTTGTACTCATTCCTTTCATTGACGAAGTAAAAATTGGTTTATGTATTGTTATTATTATGTTCTTAGAAACAAAATAAACAATTAATGAATTTCTATGTTTCTAGGAAACTCTGTTGAAAGCTATGAAATTGGTTGAACAAAAATTATCGGAAGACGAAAAGAAAAGAAACATGCATGGTCCTATGCATCTCTTCAAATATACTCCGGAGAATTTGGGTATATATATATAAAATTAATTAATTGAAATAATTATTGTTTTCAAAACAATGGTCTATATTTAACAGGCGGGTCTCAAAACTCTAAATATTTCCCTTCTATTGAAGAAAGCCACGCGTTAAAAATATGTATTAAACGTGAAGATATTGCAGTAAGTTCTGATAAACTTGTTAAAGGTTTGTGTTCAGACGTACAACTAAATGTGTACCATATTGGGTTTCCATCGCTTCATCTCATGCCAATTACAGTGAGTTTTATTCTCTAAAAATCTAAATTGGTTATCGTTGTTTAAAATGATACAATTTTTAAAAAAAATAGGCGGAGTTACAAAAGCGCAATGTTAAAGTGTTTCAATCCCCGAGTCTGGGTGAAAATATGATTATTAAAATATTAACTAAGGATGAGCAAAATGAAGATGACATACGAACTATTGCTAAAGACCTGATTGGAAAATCGATTTACGTGAATTGGCCGCATCTTGAAGAACTAAAGTAAGTAAAAAAAAATGTCATAGTTTATAGCGTATAATAAAGTTAGGGCTATGTCTCGTAAGTATAAGACCCATTACTTTCTATGTAGTGGCGTAGTGGAGGTACACGGCATGTACTTTCCTTCTATTTTTCTGTGTATGCATGTTCTTATAACGGAAATCGGGCATATAGTTGTAAGTTAACCTATCATAAATTACTTAGATTCAAATTATGTACTATTACATATTAAAGATATAATAGCCTAGTTTATACTGCACACATATGACATAGGTAACGTTATCTGACCTTAATTAGGTTAGGTAATAGGGTTTAAATGTATTAAGTCATGTATTTTAATTGGTCAGGTCATGTCATTAATTCAAAAAGTGCACCCAAAAAAGAAAACGGTAGTTCCCAAGAGCCCATTGTATTACAAAAATGAAAACCAAAAATTTCCCGCTCCAATTTAATTTTAATTCTCGCAATTCATAGTTTAAAATTGTCTGTTTAAATAACTGTTATTATCTAGTAAAATCTTAAACAACACTTGTGTTTATACATAAAATAATGAAATATTTAAAAAAAAAAACCCTCAAAAAATAATACACTTAAGTGTATACTGCATATTTTGGCAGCAGTGCTACCATCGATTTTTATACCTGCGACATAAACAACATCTTAAAAATACAAATTTTATGTGAATTACTTGATCAGTTCTCTAACTATGATTTATACAGTAATAATTTAAAATTATAAGCTATCATTATAAATAAACAAATTTAGCTGTGTTTTGGATCCATAAATAAAATAAACATAGTACATTCAACAGTGCTCATTTGCAAAAAAATGTTAAAGGACACTAGTATTTATTAAGGCACGTGTATGGTTAATTTTTCTCTAAAATCTAATATTAAGATAAAATTAATCAACTAATATAATAACTAGGGAAAAAGGTATCTAATTTGATAATTTATTTTTTTATCAACTTGTATAAGCCACGTAGGCTCTATTATGGTACAAAAACACATGTTTCTACTTTTAACAGTTGTTCCTAAAAATATTATGTTTTGAAAATAAATTAGACTGCTCGATGGTTAGGTGTAATATAATTTATAGAGTATTTGCTTAGACAACCTAATATATTTAATTACCTAAAAAATAGGAGTAAATAAAAATATACAATTTACCTTAAATTTTAAATAAAAAAAGGAATTTCATAAATACATAATAATTACACTGTATACCAAAATGTTGTATTTTTTTTAGAATAAGAATCGAAATAAATATTTTTTATTGTTTTTTGCTAAATCTGAATCTGACCTCAAATTTTTTCTAGTACTTCTAGTTGTTTTTAAATCTCCTCCAATGTTGTGATAAACCCAATTTTGTTGTAATTTTTGTACATTTGAATAATTTTCTAAAATGTATTTTAAATCATCATGTAACAATCCTTGAAAGGGCCCTACACCGCCATCTATTTTAAATTAATTTTTCTTTGCTGAATTCACAACTGTTTTCAAAATGTCTATAGCTTGTTGATTTGTTTTTTAAATATCTCATAAGTTGTAAAAAAAGCTACCAATTCTACAATAATTCTGGCCCATAAATATATTTTTAAAAAATATAAATGCCTACTTTCGAAATTTTGTTCTAAAAAAAAAAACAAAGAAAATGAATCCTAACATTTACATACTTAATTTTTTCATTAAGTATTGTTAAATTTGGGGTAACTGAAGTCAATTCTGAGGTGTTTTAGGACTCTTACCAGTTATCCCCCCCCCCATAATTAGCGCAAAAGAGTTCTTCTTTCACTAATATTTAGATTAACTAAGAACTAGGTTTTTATATTTTTCTAAAACTAGGTTTTTATATGTTCATTTTTAGTGATTGTTGATGATATTTGTAATATGTTTTCATGTATGTATCTACATATATTATAAGAGTTGCATAATAACAGTAATATTATTTATATTGCTGTTTTTTTTTGCTCCTTTACAGCTTTAAATGCATTAAATAAATACTATCTATTTTTCAGAATTACAAGTATTTTTAATAAAACAGTACGTTTTTCACTTGATAATGAAAAAGTAAATGTACAAGATATGGACGAATCTGCTAAACAAGAATTTAAATTACTTTCGCAGGGACTTGCCAAATCGTTAGTAATAGTTATTAAAAATTAAAAATGTTTTCATGTACAATAATTAAAAATATGATATACAGGTATATAACCACACGTGGTATTGAAATTGGTAATACCAATCTCCTCGTTCGTGGTCAGTTATTAAGTGGAACTAAGTATATACCAAGACAAGATGGTAGTGGTGTTGACTTAGTGAAAATGGTATTTATTTTGAATTTGACATAAGAGTTGTTATAATATTTTGAACATAAAATAATAATTTATTTAAATAATATAGTGGGCTGATATTCCAACAACGATAGCTTATCAAACGGCCCTGCCCGGTTTGGAAGTAAATGATCCACGTACCAAAGAGAGTTATCTTGCTCTTGAAGAATACTTTCCTATTGGAAGTACTGTATTTGTGCTTAGTGCACCATACTATGGTTGTCAGGCTAATGTGGTCGGAGGATATGTATCTTCGAGAATTAAGGTTGAGCTGACACTTACACCTGAACCGTATTACAATGATTTATTAGATAGAATTTGTGCTATCGAAACTAAATTTCATTATGGTAATAATGCACTAAAAATAAATTATACTTAATAAGTATTAATGGGGATTTGGATCAAGTTAAAAAATTTTAGAACAAATAAAATCTTGTAGTTGTTATTATTAAAAGCTATGTATACATAGTTTTAAATATATCTTTATATATATAAACAAATCAATATATAGATATATTTATATACCTTTTATATATTTTTTACATTTAATTAGGTCATGTGGCTGCAGACAAACTATCAATAAGCACTTACATGCTGGCAAAAATCACAGGAACAATATTTTTAATGGTTGAAACCAATGAGGATAAACATGAAAAAAAACTCAATATTGGAATGAATCTCAAATACAATAAGCGAAACGAAGAAGTAAATAATAAATAATTAAAATTGAACTGTAAATTAATATTAAAAATATGTATTCTAGGTGGTTGAATATACTAAAAAAATTGAAAATACTTGGTTGTATTCTAAAAAAACCATAGAGTTATTAGATCAATACATTACACGTTTCCCAGAATTGACTTTTTTATTGTCGAGCCAAGATAGCATAAAGGATACGTACAGATTAGAAGAATTATTTCCAGATTCAAGAACAAGGTTAAATTTATAACAAATAGTTTTTATTGAATGCGTTAAAGCTTTTCGTGGATTGAAATTCCATTTTGCTGTTTTTCGGATATATCCGAAAATCTGTACCGCTGTCCTGGCTATACAGTATAGCCACGACAGCGGTACAGTCGTGACTACAACAGCCTGATGATGAACTCTGCAATGAGTTCGAAACGTCGACCTAAAAATACTAACGTGGATATATCCGAAAATCAGCAAAATTAAATAGTTTTTACATTGATTGCTAATCGGGGGTAAACTGCTAATAATGCATATTCGGAGGCGAGTGGTAACGGGCGGCTAAATGTGACCGTTACAGTATGCAGGGGTACCTAACCACATCCCACTTTCCTGTGTATGCATTTACATATAACGAAAATAGTGTATTCTACCCGCAGGTACACTACTTTCATTATGAGTACAAGCCTACATAGAATAGTGGGAGGGGGTATGCACTACATACAGTGTATACCATACGACTACACTACTGATTGTATAAACAAAATAACTTGAACTAACTTTTTTTTAACAATATTTAACAGGAAAGAGAAGTTGGAAGAACTAAAAAGTTGGATTGGAGAAATGCGTTTATTGACTAAAAATAAACAGCCATGTGGTTCTATGGAACCAAGCAAAGTAGTCGAGATTGAAAAGTATATGGATGAGTTTCTGGAAATAAATTCTAAGAACCAAAAAACTTTGACTTTCAGCCACAAATCCCAAAATCTTTTTAAAGTATGTTGTTTGTAAAACGTATAAAAAAAAAATATATATTTAAATAGTTTTATAAATGTAAATGCGTGTTTAGCCAGTGACTAAGCTAGACAAATTGAAAGCTGATGAGGGTGCAGAAATACGAATTTTTGACCGCGTGGTGTGTATAAGGTCATCATATCAGGTTCCTCTTGGCTATAAGGGAACAGTAGTTAGTAAGTATCTTATAAGATAACATTTCTAGCTCAAAATTTAATGTAACTGTTAATAGGTATTTCTAAATCGCATATCGATACCGAGGTTGTTTACGGTGTAGTATTCGACAAAGAGTTTCCTAATGGAATATCTTTGGGCGGCAGTCCTAATCGAGGATACAAACTTAGTAGAATGTCTTTCATTAACTTGTCACATGCAATTCGTAAAGGACTTTACAAACCATTAGTCGTTAAATCACAAACGAACAAAAATCAATATCCAGATATACAGGTATAGCTACATTATTTTAAATATATATATACATTGTATACTATTTCTGATTTTTTTCTCTTTACACTTAGAAATTGCCAGTGGAAAATACATGGGAAAACATTTGGGAACACTTGCGGGTTAGTTGAATTTTACACTTTTATGTTTCTTAATACTGCAATAGGCAACAATCAAATTTTAACTAACAAGGGGAGGTCATATCAATAGGGTCACTGATTTTCATGAAAATTTGGAAAATTAATCTTACATAGTATGCTTATTTTTCTAATTTTGTACACGAGTCGTTATAATGAAGAAAACAGGATGAAAGTTATCAACAAGTTTTTAATAGATTATTAACATCAGTAAAACAATCATGTCAAGCAGCAAGTTCATTTACATATTTTTAAGTAAACATATTTTTTGTAACAAAAGTACAAAAACAGAAAAATTAGGTGGAAGGTATAACAAGTCTAGATTTTCACCAGTAGGATTGAATAGCCAATAAAATGGCTCGAGGGCAACACAATGATCAAAGCGTATTTTTCATTTATCGGAACATTTAGTTTGTTTTAATGTCTACTTTTTTCGTAATTATAACAAAATGATTAAAACGGCAAATTACTGTATTTTTTTATTCATTTAAGATTAACTTTCAAAGTTTCATTAAAATCAGTGATTGCCACGACCTCCCCTTGTAAGTTATTTTCATTAAAAAAACATTGTATTGAATTTTGCTTTTTATACCATAAATTCTTTTATAACATGTTGTTTACCAATAGTTAAATCCTGAAAAACCGGAAAAGACACAAAAGAATAGTGAGAATATAATAAAATTGGCTCCATTGGATTCTTGGCGACAACAACGACCGGTAAGTTTTTTTTTTAACATTAAGTCATGTATTAACTTATTTGCTATTGGCATAATGAAATTAGATTTAATTGTTTATTATCTTGGAGCATGGATGTTGGTGATGGAGTAATGTTGTCTTGGAGACATTTGTATAAATTAAAGGATTTGTTTAATAATAATCAATATTTATTTTTTCATTTAGTTTTGAATTGATATAAAAAAATTTGCTTGATTTATTTGATTAATCTTTTTTGTTTGTTCGTTTTTATTTAGTGCAAAGAACCAGTACCACATCCTAACAACATGACTCAAAAGCAAGCAGTGACTGCGGTAAGTTTTAAATAATTTTTTTTTAAACTATTATTTGCAGTTGAAAAGGTGAAGTAAGGAATTTTCGTGACATCAAAGGCAAATTTGTGATAGTGATAACATAATATTTGTATAGAGACTAAATAAATATAATATTGTGTCAAAAGTAGGTCAGTTTGGTTAATTTTAATTTAACAATCAAGGTCATTTTCAACTCAATCGCCTAATAGGAATTACACAATACAATTTCCAAATATTATCCCGAATTTGCCCATGTCACTAAAATACCTAACTTCACACTTTTTATTATAGTTATTACTTATCATACATAAGTTAAAAAAAGCATTTGCTTGTCAAATACTGAATAGTCACTGATTACGTGATGTTGGATCTATTAAGTTCAACTACACTAACACTATTTTGGTTTTCTATTTTCATTTAATTAACAATTAGGAACCAAAGAGAAATGGTCAATATTATTATAATAGCAAGTTAAACAATGGTACTCTATCGAATGAAGAGGCATGTGTGAGTACTTACAAAGTGATTGTTTTGGTAAATTTTAGTAACTTTAATTTGACATCTTATTACTTAGGACTCTACAACATTAATTCTAAAGAAAATGTTAAAAATTCAACCCGAGGAGAATGTAATAAAACAGCCGACTCAAATATTAAATGTAAGAAAAATGAATGTACGAAAAATTTGTGTTATAAATTATAAATATTAAATGTTCTTATTTCTATAATTTTGTGTTAAAGAAAAATAACCATTCCATTGCTACTAGAAATCCTCAAGCGAAACCAACGAAGGGTGGTTTCAAAAGTGTGGAGTCTAATGACAATATGTCGCACAGAACCGTAATTGATAAGGTTTTGCCCGTACAAGGTGTTCAAGTAAGTATTCTTATTCATATAAACAGTATTGTATGTTATAAACCTGTTTTGTTTTGATAGGAACCTCCTGCTTCAATGACTATTGCTTTGGAGAAATTTTACACTACTAAAGGTTATGGCAAGCCTAAGTATAGTATTACTAATGTTGGAGATAAAAATGTGAAAATGTATAATGCCTCCGTTTTATTACCAAACGGCATCACAGTGCCTGGAGAAGTAAAACATACATGTGATGAAGTATGTTGATATTATTATTATATATATATATATAATAGTATAAGATATACAATCATTTCTAGTATAATTGTATCAAGATAGAAAATATTTATGTTTCATTTTGTTTTTTATAAACAATTGTTTGTCTTTTTTGACATGTTATATTCTTTTGATGTGGGCAACGTGCTCAAGTGAATTAACACTGCAGTGCGCTCTAACGCCATAGTCAAGGTACAAAATTTGGTTGCTGACCATTTCTTTGATAGATTTTGTGACGTATTAATTAATGGGGGGGGGGGGGTAGGGATGCAAGAGGTTACTATACTGATAGCTCCACTATCATGATTTATAATTATAATTCATTTTTCAATGCTAGTTGTACAACTAAAAGAAATGTTATACATTTTAAAGTCCATTTTTTAAATTAACTGCCAGTTATTTTCAATTTTAAAAAAATATGTTTTTTTACCTTTTGGTTGTATCTAAAACTAAGAGCAAAAATTCTCTTAGTTTAGTTCTATTTATATACGTTGACAAACCAAAAAAATATAAAAAAAACCTTTTCCCTAGAAGGGATGGAAACTTTCTGAATACCAGACTAAAAGTAGATATGATGATACATATACAATTAAAAAAAAAAAGCCATTGATACTATATTCTAGTCTCCAACGACTATGTACGTCGCAAATTGCAAATTTGAAACATAAAAAAATGGTTAAAGCATATGCATAAACTATATAGTTTTTGCAAAAAATGTGTAGTATAAATCTTAGAATATTATTAATCTTTAGTCTCTGTATTAAGTATTTTTCTCCTCTATGTAATTATTGTTAAGTTGACTATTTTCTTAAAATAAACATACTTAATTTGTTAAGGCTATTGAAGATGTAGCTTCTCGCGCGTTGATAATTGTTCAACAGACAGAGGAGAACAAAAATAAATTGAAGCAAATGAATCTAAATAATCATCCGCCAAATGTCACTCAAAATGTAGTACGACAACAAGGATTGCACCCACAAGTGCCGCAACAACAAGGTGCTTCCAATGTATACATGAATTGGATATCATCGTATCAGCATCGGGCACCGTACCAACAACCTTTTCCTCAACAACAGTCAGTTCAGTATTTCGATAGACCTCCAATTTCATTTCAGCAATTTCAGCCCCAGCAGTATCCAGCTCAATACACGTCCGCTTATCAAATGCCCAGACAGTCTTTTCCTCCCCCATGGATGCAACCCGCCATGCAACCTGCCATGCAACCCTCCATGCAACCGGCCATGCAACCCACCATGCAATCGGCCATGCAACCCGCTATGCAGCCGGCCATGCAACCCGCTATGCAACCCGCTATGCAACCGGCTATGCAACCAGCCATGCAACCCGCTATGCAACCCGGTATGCAACCCGGCATGCAACCCGGCATGCAACCCGGCATGCAACCCGCTATGCAACCGGCCATGCAACCTACTTATAACCAACAGTATGTATTATTTTTATCTGTCTGACAATAAATAGATAATATTTTTATTTGCAATGGAATCAAAATATTATTTCAGGTTTTATAACTATCAGCAAGACATGCAGTATCCTAAGTCAGTACCTACAGTTTTTACTAATTTAGTAAATGCTTCGCAGTTGCCTCAGCCTCCAGTGCACTGGCAAGCACCTCCTAGAAATGGTAACTGTTGAATGGTCAATTTAAAGGGTGATAATATATTATATTGTTAACAATTGACTTTATAATTTTAGCAGTTCACAATGAAGTGTCACAGCACCCATATCCGTCTCAAGCATCATCAATAAATCGTCAGAGTTGTACACAGACAACTGCAAAGGATATTCCATTGGTATTTATTATAATACATTATTCTGATGAAAATCTCGATTTTCAATGTAAGTAACCGTACAACGTTTTTGTTTTCAGAACGATCCTCATTCACCCAGCAACCGGGTTATGATTCCTAGTCCGTCTAGTGCATTTAAATCGGCTGGTAGCACTGGTAAACGTAAAATTAGGGTAGCTGCTAACTTCAATACTCCTAAACAAAAATAAATTTGAGCACCGATTTTTTTTTTTGATAAATTAAGTAAAACTATTAAAGATTGGTATTTACATCAAATAGATCAACTGAATAGATCATTGAACCCATGTATTATATAACTTACTTTTTTAATTTTTATTTATTATAACTATTTGGTTGTTTTTGCCATACTTTTAAGTAAATTTATTTTAGATTGTAATTTATTATACAGTAATGAATGAAACATAAACAAAAATAAAACAATGTCATTGTGAAACCAATATTTGTTTTTGCTCTATTTATTATGTCAATTGACGATTAATTTATGTGCCTCTATTTACCAATGTGTAAAAATATTAATTTTTGGAATTATTATAAAAACTTGCAAATGTGTACAGTTTGATGGTTATGACAAGTTATGACATATAATCTTATATATTATGGAAGAAACTTTGTGGAATTATATAATATAATGATTTTTTTGCATTCTCACAAGTTATTAAGGAAATCTGACATCTTAAATTAACACATAAACGTGGAAGTATTTTTTTTTTTTAAAAACATGATTATAGTCATAGTATCATTATACTTAATCAAAAAATCAGGAAGCTTTATAGGTGTTTAATCAGTGGCGCAAACGAAAATGTAGTACATACTTTTTTCTTTTATGAACACATTTTGAATTGAGGTAATTGAGATTAAGTATAGTAAGAAGTGGACAGTGGTGGGTATTATTAGTGGTGATCTTTTTAAAAAAAACAAGTCTACAACTATGGGGGAAGTCGGATAAAAAATAAAGTTAAAGTAAGATTATAAAAAGTAATATAATTACTACATGTGCTTATGGCGCGTAGTAGAATTAAGTTGAAAAATATGTACTTTTCTGGGTGTTTTTCTCAATTTTGTAGTTCAAAGGGTGCGGTAAAAACCATTAACCATTTTTGTCCAATAAAGTATTTGTAAGGAAAGCTTTCTGGTCAATAAACTAGCTGCTTCAGTACAGTAAAAAGTTAGAAAAGTTGTGTCAAATCAATTATTTAATTTGAATTCGATTTCATCACAATCAAGCAGAAGTGCCGAAAGGGCAAAACTAACTAAAATATAATTGTGAAGATATTTTGGGTTAGCGACGAAAAATATTTCGTATTTAAAGTACTAAACTCTTGTGTTTGAGGCGTGTATAGGTTTTTGTTTTTTTTGGGGGGGGGGGTATGAATTTATCAAGTGGTCACAGACTCGAGGGGGGTTCCGGCCTTCGCCCCCCCTCGCCCCCAGAGTTTCCATGAAATATAATAACTTATCAACATTACATATACAATCTATGATGCCAAAATTATAATATACAACGCGTTATTAGAGATTAAATGTTTTATTGTAACGGGCTATTACAATGCAAAATCTAATTTTCTTGATTTTGTCGCTATAGTCTATTCAGTTTAAGTTTGCCCACTGTATTACGCAGGTACGTTTTAAGCCGTTTTAAACTGGAGAAACTTCTCTCTGGAGTTGCAGTTGAAACAGGCAAAGTCACAAATAATTTTAATAAAAAATTGACATTGGGATATATATTTCATCATCGCAATTGTTTAGATCTTCTAAGCCATTTTTAGTTAGTAAATCACTAGTGGCCAATTTCAATTACCACATTTTGAGTTCAGCGTTATAGTTGGTTTTATCAATTGTGGGAGAATATGAATCAACCAAGTGATTGAATTCCTCCCTGTCTTCGTCAGAAAAACCATGTATGAAATAAGCATTCAAAACCTAGAAACTAGAATCTAGATCAATAACTAGTAAATCGGTCAGGTCATATTCAACTATAAAACAAAGTACAATTTATTTGATGAGAACAAATATATATATAAATATTACACATTATACATAATAATAACGTGTTAAAAAATGTCTGTAAAATTGTATTTAACATGTATTTAGAACAATTAACATAAACAACTTTAATAATAGGCATTAAGACATCATCAATATAATATTTAACAAAAAAGTTTTGTACCAAAATTAGCAGACAATTAATATTACCATAGATTGATACAGTGGAGGTTTCCGTGGAAAATCAGTTTCATCAAGACGCTTGTAAAATAAACGAAATGCATAGCAAATTACAGTAGCAAACTCTATCGATGGAGTGGTGAGGTTTAGGTAAGTGTACTTAATAATATAGTGAATTTTAGTGAGGCTGAATAATAGGCTTTAACCATGCTTAATATTGTACTACTTATGTATTATTATTAGTACTAAAACATCTCTTTGAAATTTGTACACAATATCATTAAAAAATATATTTATTATGTTACATATTTTATCTGATTATCTTTGTACAGAATGATTTAAAACGTACTCTGAATAAGTACGTTTACATTTATTTACTTCATTGTATTTTAACTAGTAAAGTATTAGTAAGTATGATTACAACACCTCACTGGTAACTGGTATTTATAATTATATTATAACATAATATTGTTTTTAAAAAAGATCTACTCCTCGTATAGAGAAAAGTTTAATACTTAGTGAAACTCAACAAAATGTAGGCAGGTAGACTAACCGTATATTGCACCAGTACAAAGTAATTTTAAACCCGTAGAGTTTTTAAAACGTTCTACGTACAAAGTTCTATTCCTAAATTATATAGTTCAAAAGTCGTGGTTAAATGTTAATTATTACAATTTGATTTAAATAGAAATAAATATTAAAAAATAATAATCAACTTGTACAGGGATAAAACACTAAATAATGTATGAATATACTGACTAGAGTTTTTTTTATTTGTCGCATACTTAAAAGAACTTTTGTTTGCTTGTAAGGTATTAGCGGTGCGATTAATTAATATAACAAGATATATAGATGTCTTGATAGGTCATTAGAACGAACGTTGTATAAATTAAAAACACCGTTATTTTCCGTATCAAAGACGTTTTAAAAATAAAAGGCAGGTGTCAAATGATAATTTCAATTGTTTACACATAAACACAACCGCTGTTCGTTGTGACAAACGTAAACGAGATAATCCAGGTGGAATTTGTCCAAACAGTGAAATGCGCTTTTAAAATATAAATGTACAATTTAAAAATTGTTTTCGATGGCTTACAACAAAAAAAACACACACACGTTTCGATGTACGATGAAATTTGATTTGTTTAAGCCGGCATCGGCCGGCTTCGATTACAGGGCGTAAGGGGCGGGTTGCGTGGCCGGTCTCGGCTGTTTCAGCAAACCCACGTACCGGGCCACGTGCCGGCATTTGGAAACCACTTCTTCCTGGACCAGCGAAAACGACATGGCGATGAGAACAAGACCGAAAAGCAGGTACCCGCAACAGGCTACCAACTGTAGCTGCCCGTTTTGCGTGTCGGTGCCCTGGAACGACTTGCCGGGCACCAGGTCGCCAAAGCCGATCGTGGACAAAGTGACGAAACAGAAGTATGCGCCATCGATGAACGTCCAACCTTCCCAGGCGGCAAACACGGCTGCTCCCACACAGATGTAGCCGACCAACACCAGCAGTACCAACGCGACGGGTACGCCGGGCGGTGCGTTACCACTCCGTTTGGGCTTCTTTTTGGCAGGTACGACCACGGTCATTTCCAAAGGGCGTTGTGCCATTTCTTTCTGTCGGCTGCCACGGATCAACGGCACTCTAGAAGGCGTTCCGTTGTGGCTACCGTCGTGTAGTTGACTGTTAAAAACCACAAAATATTAGTAGTAAATAAATATAAACAACTGGTGTGTGAAACGGTAACAAGTAGGTACGGAAAAATTATAAAAAATTTAAAACGAAGAAGCTAAAAAAAAAAAAGTTAAATTGATAATTGTTCCCATTTATTGATGCGAGACATTATTCGTTAAATTTTCAATCAACTGATGATTGAATTGAAAAAAAATTTAATTTTTTTGTATTTAGAGGCCATTCGGTTAGTCAAAACTGTACTACTAATCAGTCATCGCATTTCGATTGAACTGTAACCGATTAAATATTTAATTTTATAACTAAATAATAATCGATAGTTCATAAATTAATCATTAATAAACTAATCTTTAATTAGTCAACCGTAAGTAATTAGTCGATTTCCATTAATCATCATTCATCAGTTTTGATCTCAAGTTTTATGAAATGGAAAGCTAAGCTGTAATTTGTTGAAAGCGTGTTGGGATATATTTTAAGTTTCACGTGTTATTTCGACAAGCTTTAGAAAATCAATGAATTTCCCTCTTAATATTAAGTATAAACTACATTGTGGCCAAGTCTGCTATTTCTTTAGTTCATAACCTAACTTCACTCCTACTTTCATGAGCAACACTGCTCTTTTATTTGTATTGCTTAACACTTGGGCAGTTTCTAAATGAAACATGACCTTTCTGAATGAGGTACAAAACAGACTTGGCCGCAATGTAGATACCACTATTTTTGATTGGCTGACTTTTTGGGAGGGGATCTGAACCTTTTTTCTTTTCTTCTGGGTTATCTCCTTCCTATCACCTACATAACTCCTATGTGAGTACATCTGATAATGCTGTTTTATTCCTCATTCAGAACACAGAAATGTTATTAATATTATTGCTCAAGCTGGTATTGTTTTTTAAAATAAAATAAAATGTAACAAAATAAATGTAGTTTTTACACACATACGTAACTACGTATATAATTATCAAATTTGACAAAAAGTCATTTTGGATAAATCGGTGACTTATGTCGTTTTTGAAAAGACCGATTCAATTTAAGTTAAAATTGCATTAGTTCATTTTTGACACCTGTATAATGTGCTACCAAACGGATTCGGATAGTGTTTTGATTTGGCGAGTCGAGATTACAGACGGCTGACAACTTGACGCTGATTATACAAGTTTTCAACAGGACGAGGAAAGTAGTTGTTTATTTCTCTAGACAATCAAATGTACACAGCAAGAAACTTTCACTGATCAAAAGACGAACTGGTAATCTAATACGCCCGTACTTAGCTACACTATTTCATACAACTTCTTCATACTACACTAGATCCTAGTATTTTGTGTATTTTGAAAAATATATAAAACAAAAAATCTAACAGTGTGATGCTGTTGTTATTATCTTGGTGGTAACTGGCTACCGACCGTTAGATCCAAAACTCGATCTGGGTCCGTTTAATACAAAACAAATTATATATTATGTTTAACGCCAAAAAAAAAATAACTAGACAACCAAATAGGTTTACCATTGGTAACAGTCTTCGTTGTCGTCATCGTATAAATACTCATCTTCGGGTACTGTTGACAAATCTGGACGATCGCCCAGTTGTCTTAGGATGTGCGCTGCCACGTGATCGTGTGTAGGAGAATTAGCTAATTGGTATTCGGCACATTCACACAGTACGTGTTTGGCTTCAGTGGTTAAACGATACACTGGTTTGCATCCTAAAAAAAATGTAAAAATATTAGAATTAGTATTGATCTAATAATTATCATACAGCAAAATTATTTAAACATATCAATTATTTTTTTTTTTTATTGGAAATAGTTGAATTACGAATTTCGAGATGAATGTGCGAGTGATTAGTTTGAAAAAAATTAGGAAGGATCGTACTATCATATTTGTTCATTGTAATTTTCAACTTGTAAGCGCCAAGCACGATTATGCTAGACGGGGTGCATATTTTTCTAAGAATTAAATAAGAAGAGATAAATATGATGTATTTTCTATTTATATAGTTTTTGACTGGACCATTTGACAATGGTAACATATTTTTCCAATAGATTTATCAAACTAAACATGTAACTTGCACAAACCAATTTGTTTTCGTGTTCTTGAAGTTTGCTGTCCGTTTCTGTGATGACCGTTTAAAGAGTTTACGGCATGCGGAATAACTTCTTCTCTCACTACAGTCTTTGACTTTTTCATTGACTTATTCTTTCGATCTAAAATAGAGCATAAATATAATTATACAAAAAAAAATGTGAATATTTGTGGGTAATATATAATTAGATCTTTAAACTAAAAATGTTAGTTTTTGAATTTTCATCAATTTCTCCGTTTGCTATGACATTGCAAATATATTACATTTCACCTTAAAATTATTAAATGTCTTCGGTTTTCTAAATTCTATTTCGTGTTGCCCAAAAAATTTAAGAAACTTCATAGAAAGAATGTGATAGGATTACGAATTTGACTTTTGTATGAATTTTCCATTTTTCTTCATTCAAGCGTTTTTATGGAGAACGCATTTCAAAATGTACAATTTTCTCAGCTTTTAAAAAAATAGTAGAAATATTCTCAAATTATGGGTAACACGAAAAAACCATCTTTATAGATAATAAACCAAATTTGAATGTCTTTCTGATACTCGAAAAAAAACAAATATTTTTTTCAGTAACCAGAGATTGTTTTACATAAAAAACTGATTAAATTTTTTTTTAATACTCGTAAATACCTAAAAAAACTGTAGCAAATAAAAATAATAATAAACTAAAATTACCTTAATTCCCTACATATTTGTCTATGACCGAAATAAACGAAAAATTCCAAAAAATAGTGTTTTTGAGGCCAAGAAAATAATAAAATTTCATTTGTTAGCAGTTGTTATGTATTTTATTTCATAGTTTGTAAAACTTTTATAGTACAACAAATATATGAAAGTTAACAGGATATGACAATATATATTGTGTTGGTAGTTTGAATGTGCTTATGTATAGTGTAACATTATATTCAGAATAGAAGTTTGTAAATTTAAACAATACAATTATGTTGTTGCTAAAGTTGCGTTTTTGAATAACATTGTGTGAACAGTTAACTTAGAAGTTGATGAACAAAAGTATTGTGAATTTGTATATTTCTTGTACCTACATTTTGTATTTTATAGCACATCTACCTACACAAATGTGTATGCTCGTGGTGAAAAGTAAACCTTTTGGGACGATATAAATGTTTCATTCCAGAAATAATATTATATATAGTTCCTAAAGGCATAATTTAACCTAAAATATTTTTCATTGGATTTATTTATTTACAAGTTTAAACTCAACTAAGCCAATAGAACATCATACTGTTAATAATTTTAATACAAATTTGTTGCAGTTATCACAAATAACGTAAATTTCGGCTTGGCAACGTTTTCAATTCCTGGTTTAAATTCAAAGTTTATCAAAATATAAACGATTTTGTGATCAATCAGTTTGAGAGATAACTTAGCAACTCGTCACTTGTCAATTGTATACGCGGAGAGTATACAATTTTTATGGTTGAGGGTTTTTAATATTTTTTTTTTTGCATATAACCATAAGTTGCTTAAGTTTTTTCTAGATTGTCACTTGGAACAATTATTTTTTTATTTGAAAACGACTAGACCTAACGACATAAATATGTCAGTAACAAGTGTTGTAGCTACACGGTACAACTTTTAATGAAGGGCCTTCAATCTTTATACAGTCTTTAAACCTTACAGATAAATAGGTAAATTAAATAAGTTGGAACAGTGTTAGTAATAGTAATCAGTTCTCGACAGGCATTATTTAACCTAGCAGGGTAGACCACGGTTACTGGAAGCCTTGTATTATTCTAAATAGAGTATATAATTACCATTTACACGAATGACGAACGAATTTAACGTTTAATTATTGAAAATCAAAGTTTGTGGATTATTTTTAATAAGAGGTAAGCCAGCTCTAATAATTTTATTATTATTACATAAAGTTTAAAGTAATGTCTATGAATTCAAAATTTAGTAACTCATATACAATATTAAAATAATGTGTGTACAATGAAATGTGACGGTATAGTCATAAAGTCATTGTTTCGTTATTTCCCTTGGTCCATTAACACAATGCTATATTATTATACTGTTTTAATTTTTTCATAATATTTTTACGGGGTTGAGTGTGAAAACAATGAGTTAGAAATATGATGGTATTGCCACCAGGGAATACAAAAAAGGTATTATTGTTGAAAATGATGCGGAAAAAAGGTAAACAATAGACTTGTTATGGATTAAACCGTATGCGATATTTTTTTAGGAAATGTAATAAAAGTTATTTTTGCTGGGACATTTTCAAATGACTGTTTGCAGTCAATGAGTTGTTAGCTTATAGAAAAGCTTAATAACGACGTTATGACACGTCACTGTAATTTAATGAGATTTATTAAAAGCCGGACAAATATAAATATTAATATACAGGGTGGGCCAGAGAAAGGCTCATGAACCGACGTTGTGCGTTGTGAACCGACCCACTGTGATCCATGATTAATAAAAGATAGTTAACCTGTGAACATAAGAATAACACTATCGCCTTTCTATAAGCTCCTCAAGGCTGCAAAAAAACTTTCTAATTGTCCCGTTTCTCGGCCCACCCTGTGTATATATATATACACATTTTTGTCCAATAAAGTACCTTTAAGGAAAGATTTCTGATCAATAAACTAGTTACTCTAGTACAGTAAAAAGTTAGAAAAGTTGTGTCAAATCAAATATTTAATTTGAATGCGATTTCATCACAATCAAGCAGAAGTGCCGAAAGGGCTAAAATATCTAAAATATGATTATGAAGATAAGATTTTAATATAAATTTACAAGCTGTCCGGACCCGGCGTTGCCTGAGATTTAGTCTGTCAAGGCTGAGTAAAATAATTCCCCATTCCCCATTCCCACCCCCACCCCCATCCCTCATCTTTAATCTCTTATCTCTCATCAGATAACAGCGTGACAGCGTTTTTGAGACACTTTTTTCGGTTATTATGTCCACCTCTTACTCATGGGTCCTAGTCCCGGTCCCAGTCTCAGTTCCAGATTCCGTTCCAACAGTTAAAAGCTTGCCCAAAATCGTGGTACATAGCATCGGCCTGTTCCTTTAATCATCACCTACCATTTGCTCGAGTACCGTGGTTACCATGGTTACAAACCAAGTGTTTATTTTGGGTTACTATGGTTACAAACATTTAATTTATTTACATTTCGTATTTAAAATACAAAGTTCGTGTTGGATGTCATCCTTAGAGGTGGAATTTTCGAAAACTACTATGCCAGCTAGGTTTGCGGGAGTGTACTCAACAACTTCCCAAAGGCTTATGGCGATCGGATGAATGGTGTACTAATGCATAAAGGACAAACAAACAAAAATGAATTTTTATATATATATATAAAAATTAAGCTTAAAATTCGAACATCGAATAGCTCCAATACTATTATATTAGCATTTCACTAACAGTCATCGGCCGGTGTAAATTTATTAATAATACATTCTTTGTTTTTATTTTATAAAATAGAAATACTTATGATTTATTCTAGAGCATGTAATATAATAATAGTATTGCTTTACCTGATTTTCTTTTGGTGAAGCAGCACGCATGTGAGTAAGCAAACTGAAACGTACCGGCTAACAGTGAACCGAGATTGGATATGCACAATAACATGAGAGGTACGCCAAAAAGGGCATACACCATAGTCACTATTTTACCTTCTGGTGTTTTTGGCGCTAAATTACCGTATCCTGTAAACAATTAACCACTGAATTTTATTATTAAAATTTTAAAATATTACAATATACGTGGTATTTGGATCTTATATTATAATTAGCACAGGTAATATAGGGTTAGGAGACATTGACTTTTGAAATTTTTTTCTCAATAGTCAAGATGAAAATAAAACTGAATTTATACAATGTTAACCATAGTTAACTTAAATGGTATTAGGTACCTAAAAAAATAAAAGCTCTAATCAATCTAAGTATCTATTTGAAATTAGCGAAATTTTTTCATATAAACTTTTTTAAATTGTTTAGGAACATATTACAATCATTATGTATGTATTACTTAAAACCACGTTTAATGATAATTAAATAATATTTAAGTGTAAAAGTGTGAACTTTTGTGGTCCCCACTCTTAATTTTTATAAAATTTAGTTATATTTCGACTATCGTCATTGAACAAGGTATAAAAATGTCATTTGTGTGCTACCGAAGATGTCAATATATTAATTATAGTTGTGATACTCAAAAATTGTATAATAATCTTAATAGTAGCATTGTATATTATAGTAAGCAAATATAAATCCAGAAAACTGCCGTTCTATTTATGAACCCATGTTTAAATTTGTTTTCCATATGAAATATATTTACACTTCACTTACCAATAGTGGTTATCACAGTCACCGAGTATAAAAGCGCGCCGGTGAGTGACCATTGTTCTGTATTTTTACTGTCGTATCCCTGAATATTTTTTGTGGAAATGATTTGGGTTTCAAATTTTTGAAGTGGCTCATATACTAACTTTGTCCAATTTAGCTCATGAAGAACATGCATTCTCACTGTAAACAAAAAAAATTGTTTAAAATAAACAAAATAAATGAGTTTTAGGTTACACTATAGATATAGTATTTATAAAAATAAAATAATAATTATTATTATAATGAGGTATATATTTTTTTACTCTACGTAAATTGGTTGGTCAAAACGAGATATGAATAACTTCGTCGCTATTTCCCACATATTAGTCAAACAACTTTTTTATAAGTCAGAACTTGACAAATTTATAAATTTATGAACAGCATACCGCTGTTGGAGGGTATACCACCCTTCTTAAGAAATACTAAATCAACTCTTTCTATTAGGTAAATAGTGATTTATGTTCACTTGAGTAATTAAACAAAAAAAAAAAAAAATGACTACAATCGTTATCAATGAATAAAAACATAATGTACACACACGGTCATGCGCACATAGTGTACCTACAAAATATTAATAATGGTAATAGGTACCGACTTTATTGTTATTTTAATATGTCTAACGCCATTAGCACAATGAGGTTTATCGATGGAAACTAACTCCGGAAATGCAGTATCTTTAAAACTCGGCGTTGCCCATCACCTGAGAGGTGTATACATAGAAAATATTGTTTACCTCGACATTTTGCTGTACACGAAACTACCATTAGCTTTTCGAAAACACGAGCAGGAAATTATAACTAATGAAATTCACCAGTGTCCAACGTCGTCATTAGCGGCCGGTAAATGTGTTCAATTTTGGGTGTGGCTCAACGTGAGCAAAAAAACTAAACTCTTATTTTTATTATCATCGAACATCAATTATTAAAATCAACAATAGTGAATAAATAGTGAAAATTAAAAAAAAATATCAAGAAAGTAAAACATTATTTGAACAAAATATGTCGACGAATTTAAAGAGATTTAGAGAGGTGAGTGATCGAAGAGTGAGTGGATCATGGAATCATTTTTCACTCATCGACTAAATTGTATTCACGGAATAAGGTTAAGAAAAAGAAAGAGCATAGTATTATTTTAATTTATGTACAAAAACTTACTAATTTATACATTCACTTTTTAATTAAAGTTTATCTCTTCAGTGGTTTTTTATTAGATAATAATAATTATTGATTATAAAATCATTTTAGAACCTTTACATATTTTACAAATAAATGAAAAAAAGGTCTACATTTTTACACGATTTTTTTTTGTACAAAACATTTATTGAAGGTAATTTGTTTCTGTGTTTTGTGATAATTTACACAGGTCATGCGTATTCAGCACTATAAATGATTCGGTAAGTTTTTTATAGCTAGACCTGATTAATGTTGAGACTGTTTTTGCAATGCGGCCGTTTTAATTATTGGATTTGGAAGGAAAATGTGGCCGTGTTTCGAAATCTCATGTCGTTTTTTTGGACATATTTTATCGCAGGTACTTGTTACATGTCCGCTAGGCCCGGGGTATCCTTATTTTAATTATATAAAATTGTGTTAAACTATTTAGGGTAGGTATTTAATATGTATTTTTAAACATTGCCAGTTCAATACAATTTTTAAATCATTTTCTTGGAAAATAATTACACATTTTTTGTAACATGTGGAAGTGATTATAAATATGATTATATTTTAGTATTATAATGTACCTATTTATAATGAACGACAATACTCGCACATAAATATAATGACACTCCACCCTTCCTTTCGTTCTAAATTTTGAGCTCCAATAACCTTAAAAGTAATTATTAAAAACTGATTATCGACCAGTAAAAATGTTTAGCAAACTATTCTTAATTTGAAAACGAATTAAATATATAAGTTACCGGTCAATTGTTTAAAGTTTATAGCACTATTCTCGGTTAATATTGTTTATCCTCGACAATAATACTGTTTATGTTTTGTTTACTTTCTAACATTGACAAGAGAAAAAACCTCCAAAATGAAATAACGCAAGATTTTAGGGTAAGCTTTTGTAAGAGGATTATTATAGTTTAAGGGCGGTAAAAGGTTGATTTTATAGTTTATTATTATGATTTTCAATTATTTATGAATGAAAACACGACAAGCCGAAGAAAATAAGACGTTTCCTCGAAATAAAGAATACCTAGTTCCCATTTTTATAACGACTTAATTCACTTCGCATTGTTACAAAAAGCTAAATATAAAGTAAACTAAAAGCAAGCACGGTAGTGCGAATAGAGCTTTCAAATTATTCACAACGGTTTGAACAGATTCAATGCATTTGCTTTAACAAAAGCAATCCGATTATTTGTCAAGAATATAACAACAATAGAGCTGCTAAGCTGTTGTACCTACTCCTTTAAAAAAACATTTAAAATGTGCGTTAGTGTTTAAAAATACAGGATGAGATAGATAATGCGCCTGTATACAGGTAATTCAATTAATTGTCTAAAAGAAGAATTATTGTCAAAAGTTTACTATGAATTTGTGTCGTCCTAGTATAGTTAAATGAGTTACTAGTAAAACTTATAAAGTACTAATAAAGTTATAAAGTTACTAATATAAATGCTAATGAAATGAGTTACTAATAAAATGAGCGCTAATGAATTTAAGTATATTTTTACTGCATTACTGTTAAGTACTTTACTCTTTATAATATGAACAAAATTGTACAGTTAAAATACTGCTGCACTTTAATAATAAAAGTCAATTGGTAAAAGGCTTGATTTGCTTAAATTACATGGTAAGCACAACAAGTTTTCAAATTAGAAAATGTTTAGGTTCCCTTGTCATAGAGTTTTTTTTTGTTGGATAATCATGAAATCGAGGCCCTAATAGTTTTCTCGTTCATTTTCTACACTGTTATTGTAATAGTATGTTTTCGCGGTGGTCCAAATAACAATAAGTATCAACATTCATTTTTTTTTATTATAAGGGTTCAGTTTGAACTGGCCATTACTGGCTGGCCCTTTATAACTGTATATATAGTTATAACTTATAAGTATATAATATTTAACAAAAGAGTTGCCCTAAACTTTCATTACTGTTATTTCACACTATGTATGTTGGACGTTGGTCTATTTTAATTATATACTATTATTATCTAATTTTGTTTTTGCTAATAAATACCACTTAATTCTGCTGTTTAATAATAATCTGTTAAAAGTAAGCTGTTTAATGATTAGTCATTATTTTAAGACAGAATATTTTATTAAAACCGTTTGGGTTATAATATTATGTTGATTATCTTGTTTATTAGCCTTTAAACAACAACACGTGTTTAGATACACAAAACTACGACCAGTTGATAAGTAAGATTCATGTAAATGCATTAACCTACTAAAAATGTTCAATAAATGTTTATTTACATGAAATATAAAATGTTGAATATTTGTAGATTTTTATCTTTTAATTCGAATAATTTGAACAAAGCTGATGTGGATTGCATAGATCATTTATTGAACTACATACGTTTAGAGTTTAGACTTAGTATTCATGACTACGTTGACATTGAGTTCTACCGTTTTAATAGTCTATATTAACTGCAACTATAAAACAATTTAAAAAAAAGTAATAGTAGTAATCTGATTTGCCAGTCATTTCTAAGTGAACAAGTCCATAATACTGTCGCACAGATTCCAATGTCATGTTTTTTAATGTTTTTTTCTGTTAGAATCGTAAAAAACAGAATTCGATTTAAGTATAGAACTCTTTCTATAGAACCAAATTCCATTTACACGGTAGACATACTAGACGCACAATGACAATAATAAAAAGCACTCTAACTCCTCAAGCACAGGAATATCATAATTTATTCATTTGAAACTTTATGGAAACGACGACGGCAAAATGGTTGAAAACAATTATTGCGCTAATATTGATGGAAATATCATGCTGTAACTCTCATTGTCAGTGACAATTGTCACATAAAATATTACATGTTATTATCTCTCAATGTATTAACAGGTGGCGGCTTGTAAATAATATTATTGATTATAAAAATAGTAGTATTTAGCATTAAAATCATATCAAAGCCATACTGCTATGATAGGTAATCTCGTTTAATATGTTATGGCATCAGCCGCATAATATTAGGAGCAAATATGCTAATGACCACATATAATTAAATTCCTAAAATAAAATTTTAATATAATGTCGTTCTACTTTATTTTTTACTTAATTTTTATTATTTTTCAGTTATTCAAATATGAATATATATATCCGTATAAATAATAACTATTGTGTTATAATTATGTTATAATCAGTATATTATAGTAATATTCATACTATCATATAATATGGTAGGTATGTTTGATAAATGGATAGATATTCATTCATTGAAATTCATAGACTATTCTTTTTTATAAACCCTTTTAATGTATAAAACAAAATAAATCAATAAATTAATGGTTGTAGATAAATAATGTTTTAAGGTTTTTAGAATCCCATGTCCCCACCCTTCCCACCCAATCTCCGCCAACGGGTAGTAGGAAACACTTCACAAAATTAACGTTATTTTAACACAACAGTGATCAATATTGTTACAAGATAAGATAAATAAAAAATGTGAGAGAAGTGGAATGCTGATTTTATTTCCATTTAATTGTTCTTTCCATTATCGAAAATGAGCCATTTAATATTTTTTATTTTAACGAAGCGGTAGATTTTATAACGATTAATTTAACATACATTTTATAAAATCAATTATTGAACATTAATGAAACATCAATTTTGAAGTATTTGTTAAAATTAATGGTTATACCTAAAGTCTTAATTGTAGATCTTTTGTCTCATTACTGTGTACATTCAAAAATATATGTTTTATTTTACTTCGGATGATTTTGTGTACGTTATTAATGATTATAGTTAAGTCCTTAAGTAAATATTTTTAATAAGCAAAAACAAATTTTTAATTAAAAGCTTATTAATTTGATTATATCTGGAATAAAAGTTTCTCGTTTAACAGTAATTATTTGGATTCGCTCATAAATGTTTGTTTTTACGTTATATCTGCTTGTAAATAATCTCAAATTTTCATTAATAACGGAAAACTTTGATAATTTATAATACGTGTCTACGCCATGG